GGATATTGCTGCTCAGGGCCCCCAGCAGCTCACGCCCCCCATTAATTATTAGTGTAGCTGGGGGGGGGTATTGCTGCTCAGGGCCCCCCAGGGGCCGGCTGTGGACAGGCGCTGCCTGGCGAGGCCCTCGCCCCTCGCCCCGCAGCGCGGCCCCGGCAGGGCCCAGCTCCCGCCCGGCAGTGCTGGCAGCGGGGCCCGGCGGCGGCGCCGGGCAGAACAAAGGCCGGGCCGGCCGCGCCGCTCGCCCGCCCCCAGGCAGCGCGGGGCCCACGCAGGCCTCCCGGGCGCCCCTTTCCTGCCGCCGCCGGGAGCGGGACCCGCGGGCTCGGGCCGGAGGCGGAGCCGGGAGCGGAGGAGGCGAGTCCCGGGGACGGGGAGGCCGGGCAGAGCAGAAGCTCCTCAGCCCGGCGTCCCGCCCCGGCCCCAGCGGGCACCTGCCGGCACGGAGCCGGGTCCCGAAGCGCCCCGAGGCGGCAGTGAGGGGCCGCCCCGCACCCCGGGGCGCTCCGGGGGGCCTGAGGGGGCCCCTGGGAAACGCTCCTCCCCGGTAAGGCTTGTGCCCGGGAATCACCCCCTGCCCCTTCCGCCCCCGCCCCGCGGCCTCCCTCCGCCGGGGAGAGGCGCCAGGAACGCTGCCCGGGGCGGACTTGGCCGCTGCCCGGGGCGTGCCCGGAGACCCCGGTGATGGGCGGCAGCCCCAGGCGCTGAGAGGGATGGATGGGTGCGCGGTTACCGGCAGCTAAGGTGGGTTCCAGAGTGAGCTGGGCGGCTCCAGTGGCTGGGCAAGAAGCTTTGCTTGTGCAAGACGTGTGCGTGTTCACCCCCTGTATTCCCGTCTGGGAGGCACAGCCACTCCCTAGTGATCATCAAACGATTCCAGGCCCTGCTCTTACAGCCCCCCTTCCCCACTGGGGTCCTGGGCTGACCCCAGGATGTACCTGGGGATCCATTGCGGGATCAGGGCGTTGGAAGTAGCCTTTGTGAGCTTGCTTCAGCAGGGGCAAGGGAGAAGGCAGAGTAGTTTGGTTTTGTGAGTGGTGTCAGGGCTGTTCTGTGCAGTTTGGTGATAGGGCAGTTCAAGCCTCCCACTTTCCTCCCCTTGTGTCTTTGGAATGTGGTGGATTCTCTCACTGTGATAATAACAGCCCTAATGTGGGTTGTGCCCACAGTCCTTGAGTCCTGTCTCTCTGGAAACAGTGTACATCTGTAAGGATGTGTAAGCCTGGCCATTGTTCAGGACAGTTGCTCTGACTTGTTTTCATGTTAACTCTTGGATCAGTGCTTCACGCTCCCTTCACGCTCCCTTCAGAAGCCGGAATGTTGCTGCTCCGTTCTGGTTTTTCCCCATGCCTTGCCTGGATGGAAGGGTCCTTAGAAAGCAAGGACATGCCTTGCCTTGCGGAGCTGTAACGTGTTTGGTGAAAGGTAATAATCTATTGCTGAGATTAATTGTCCGTTAGATTCCTTTGTGAACTGTGTATCAACAGGGTCAAAAATGGTTTGTGTGTGTGTGGGGGGAGATAGTCCAGTTCCAACACCATTACACAAGGTACGCTGGGCCTCTGTACACTAGAAACAAAAATGGCTTAACTGTCAGCAACACTTGTTAACAGTTGGTCACTTCACTAATGTAGAGGGACCCTACATTGCCTTGGTTTTGTCAGCTTAAATTTTCCCTTTGCTTCCTTCTATTTGACTATTTTGCACTGAATTTCTTTGTAGCCTCATCTCTGAGTCACTCCCATTGACACAATATTGGCTCCTTTGTTCCCACTTCTAGCTCCATAGTTGCTACTGCCTCTGTATAAAAACTTCAGTGGGAGGAGAGGGAGTGTGTCTGTTTGGAAAACAGTCCATGTGAAGGACGAGGTCCCGGGAGAATTCCAGAGATTTCAAGGTTGGTAGGGCCAAAACAGTCAGTGCTCATTTGGTTTCTTTTAATCCCACGGCAGGCTCAGACCTGAGGGTTTGTGCTGGTTTATGTGGTGGGTGTTTGTTTGCCCTTTTTTGCAGATAAATGTACACAGCTGATGAGTATCCTGGGCAGTCTGGCTACCCTCTTCTCACTAGCATGTGAAAGGGGGACACCTCTACTTGTCTGTAGGAACAGGAGCTGAATGAGACTGAAGCTGTAGAACTATGGAAGTTTCCCTTATTTCCATGACAAATCTGTTTTTCCTTAGTGTGAGTTTAGAGCTCATTAAGGTCTGGATTGTGCCACCCTTACACACATTGAGTAATAGTTTTCTCTGTGAATAATCTGATTCTATGGGGATACTTGCAGAATAAAGTACTAAATGTGAGCAGATACTGCAGAATCACCAGAAATGGAAACCAAAGGCCTTGATTTATACGTGGAACAGGGACAGCCTGGACAACACCAATGTGTCATGCAACCCTTGTGTTGTTGTAATTGTCTCACTGTGCCCTGGTGCTCCCTGTTTGTATTAGCCTGTTGTCTGTCATTTCATACTTAGACTGTCATTGTTTTGGCACAGCGACAGGCTCTGTTGTGATTGTGTAGTGCCTAGCATGATGTGGCTGGGTCATCTAGGGCAGTGGTTTTCAAAAAAAAATTTCTGGTGACCCAGTTGAAGACAATTGTTGAGGCCCGTGACCCAACAGAGCTGGGGATGAGGGCTTTGAGGTGTGGGAGGTGCTCAGGGCTGGGGCAGAGAGTTGCGTTGCAGAGGTGGGGGGTCAACTGTTTTATAACTTTATAAGGAGAGGGATAACTCAGTGGTTTGAGCATTGGCCTGCTAAACCCAGGGTTATGTGGCACCTTTAAGACTAACAGAAGTATTGGAGCATAAGCTTTCGTGGGTGAATGCCCACTTCATCAGACGCAAGTCTTGCATCTGATGAAGTGGGCATTCACCCCCGAAAGCTTATGCTCCAATACTTCTTTTAGTCTTAAAGGTGCCACAGGACCCTCTGTTGCTTTTTACAGATTCAGACTAACACGGCTACCCGTCTGTTACTAAACCCAGGGTTGTGAGTTCAATCCTTGAGGGGGCCACTTAGGTCCTGCTAGTGAAGGCAGAGGGCTGGGCTTGATGACCTTTCAGGGTCCCTTCCAGTTCTATGAGATAGATAGACTTGAGCTAAAGATTAGGTATGGATCTTAAACCAAGATTTAAAAAAAGGGTGCTTAAAGTTAAGCTCATAAGTCCATATATAGGCACCTAACATAATAGCTGTTTTTCAAAAGTGCTAAGCACCCAGAAGCTACACACTAAGCTTGCATTGGGGTCCTACTTATGGAGAAAGCTACTGAGCAGGAATATGGGGAGATGGTTGATAGGAGGCTCCAAAATATTTGAAATTAACACCATTATGTTTTTAAAAGATAATACAAAGTAATACTGCCTGGTTACCACCCTAAGCCACCACTTTAAAAACCAGTGGCCATCTCTGTGGAATAAACACATAGTGCTGTGGTTCACGGCGAGATGAGGGAGTACACAGACTGTCTCTCAGCTCTGTTTATTTTCACTTTTACAGATTTTTGTATATGCTTATATTTTACCCAAAAATGTGTTTTAGGGAACTTCCTGCAAACACATCCCACCAGTAGTGGGTTTGTGGGTTAGATCTCCTTCGCCAGGGCTGAAATCGCAGTTGCAATAGCAGTTTCTGAACTTGAAATTTCTTGCTGCAATTGCAAGCTTTTATCTGAAAGAAAACAGACGGCTCCAATAGAAAAGGCTTAATTTTCATAAGTGAAATGTGATTTTTGGGTGTCTAACTTGAGACCCCTTAAAAGGCACCTGATAATTGAGGCATCCAAAATCACAAGTCTCCATTTAATCAGATCAGATGGTGCTTTGCAGCATTTGGTTTAGCTTATACCGGCTTCTTGAACAATAGCTGAGTTTACATTGAAAGTTCATAGTCCTGACTTTGTACTGGAATTACCATTTCAGGGGTGTTTTATACTGATGCAGTTATACGGGAGCTTGTGCCTTATATTGGAGCTTGTTCCCTTTCCCAGATGGGAATAGCTGTAATGGTATAAAGGACCTTTATAGCTGCATCCACACTGGGGGATTATTCTGGGATAAGGATACTGATGTAGTTCAAGTTTGTGTGTAGACAAGGTCTTAGTTGAACATATAATGGATACGTTGGTAACAATTCCATGGTTGGTATATTGAGCATTCCATTTTAAAGCATGGTTTGAATCTCTTTGTCGGGCACGGGAACCCTCCTTGATCACACCAATGTTACGTCACATATTCTTGGGCCTTGTCTACATTCGGAAACTCTTGCTGAGAATTCCTGCTGCTCGGAGCGATGACAGGAGCTATAATGCAGGCTCAACACTGAAGCTGGGTTATTTAGACCTACTCTGAGCACCAGTAGGTGGCCTCCTGCTTAAAATGCTGATGGCTGCCGGGAGTCTGCCTACCCTGCTGCCCCAGCTGCTGTTGTCCCATGCTCTGGGGGATTTGTGGCTAGTGTTGGGACTTTGGTGGTTATGTGGCTGGCTTCTCTAGTATGTTATTAGGGAGGGAGGGAGGGAGGGCCCCTGGTTGTGGATTTAGGCTATTCCATTGTTTGTTCTGGCATCGGAAGAAGTGAGGATGGTGTCCATTGTCCTACAAAGCAAAAAGATGCCGACTGTATCTAGAATGGCTAACAAGCCTCAACAGGAAAATACATTGCCAGACAAGTCTGTGGTGGTTTCGTCCCTGTTTCATCATCACTTAGGGAGTGATCCTGCAAGGCACTCTGCTCTCTGGCCCTGATCCAGCAAAGCACGTAGGCGCCTGCTGGACTCCAAGGCCATGAGTAGCCACGCTGGCTAGTGCAGCATGTGCTGAAGTGCTTTGCTGGATCGGGGCCACACAATAGGACTTTCAGGAGCTCTCAGTGATTTAATCCCTTTGGAAAGTCCCCCCCAGAGTGCTCAGTACCTTGTGGGATCAGTCCCTTTGATGGGTGAGGATCCAGACCCCTGCCACAGAGGACTCACAGCCATCGCAAATTGGGCTGCTGTCATCCCCAGATGCTGCTCTCTGACGCATTGTGTTGCCGGGGCTCCTTACTGCCTCTCCCGTTGTTGTCCTTACCCCACATTTCAGTTTTCATACAGAGTGCGCTGTTATTTTCACTCTGCGTTGGGCCTGCCTCTTGCCTCTGACCCTGTTAACCTGCAGCAGCAACAATGGTAGTGCATAGCAGCAGGTGGCTGCCTGCTTGAGTGCCCTAGAACACTGGAGCGGCTGTTGTGCAGGGGGCCACGGGTGACGATTTCTCTTGTGCTGAATACTGGGCCAGGGCTGCCTTACAAAAATTAATAGCTGCCTGTGCCCCCCAAGCTAGGCTTTGGCTGTGCCTGCTTTAATTCAGAGGAAATCTTTAGAGGCGGCCCTGGGGCTACAATAACACTGGACATCTACCAGCAACCCAGATAAAGCCCTAGGTCAGATCGGAGCTTTGGGCAAACCTCCCCATTGAGTTCCTGTGCTCGCATCCCTGCCCTTCCTGCTACACTGGCATGATGTATTTCCCCTAGTCAAAATGCCGTCTGCTGTAGCATCTCACCGACAGGGCTGCAGGCTCTGCTGAGCCAGGGAGGTACCAATTCTTTTTAACATCCTGTCAACGTATGGAACAACGTTGTTGGCTTCCGAGCTGCCAGAGGGAACACGAGCGTAGTACAGAGATGCCTATTTACTGCCACGTTCCCTTGATTCCCAAGAGGTGAATAGGGTCCATGAAGAATATACAGAACCTAATCGTCTGAGGCGGCCTGTTGGCCCTGCCTCCCTCCCAGAGGCAGGACTAGAATCACGGAGGGGTCCTAGTTGCCAGTCGCCCCGTACTCTCCCCACAAGACCATACTCCCCTCCTGGAGTTGGAGTGCAGGAGCTCTGCTTCCCAGTGCCTTTAGGAATAGCAGCAAGAGGGGCAGTGGCTAAAGCCCCTGACAGCGTGTCAGCAGATTTGGATTCTTACGTTAGGTTCCGCCAGTGACTTTGTGCCTTTGGGCAAGTCACGTGGCCAGACTGTGCCGCAGTTTCCTCACCTGTAAATGGGGGATGATGCTCGTTCACCTCAGTAAATGGCTGTATGAGATATCAACACCCCCGTGCGGGCTGCCTCCACCTGGGACCTACGCATGCAGGAGTAAGTGGGTATTCTGAGCCTGTTACCTCCTCCGCTCCAGAGCAGGTGTGGGGGGAGGAGAGGGGAGAAGTCTTGGCTGCAGTGTGCCAGCTACTGCACTGAGCCTATAGGTGGGGGGGTGTCATAGTCTGGGGGTATGTCTCCTGGCGCTGGGAATCACATCCCTAGCTCGGAGTGCAGGCCTGCCCTTAATCATAACATCCCCCCCTTCACCCAGGGCTAGGCCAAGTCTGGGATAAGGTTAGGTAAGTTAAGGTGTGCGTAGCGGGAAGGTTTTTAGAAAAAGAAGTGCTTGGTATTCAGAGTCGCTGCATGGCTCCTAAGGCATGTTCTCTACGGTCAGGAAGACAGAAAAGAAACCTGTTTCCTTGCAGTGTAGAAAGAAGTTTTGTCTTTCCAGTTCTCGAACTGCTCCAAGCAGCTTGTTGTCCGGCAGACCCACGTGCAAGAGAGCCTGTATTTCTAGTTGTTAAATAGGGGGCTCTGGGTTTCTGCAAGTTACCCGCCTCTCGCTCTGTTACGTGACATGTTCTAGCCGGTCAGGCTGGCTCCCTGCACCTAAAACAACACAAATCAGGAAGGTCAGCACATGTTCCTCCCATGGTCAGGGCTTGCCACTGTGGGTGAGCCCTTCTCTTCAGAGTGCAGGTCAGACAGGGAGGGGCTTGTGTTGATATGCCGTGTGTGTGAGTGTGTAGTGGGAGTCTGTTTGGTTTATTCCTGGTCATAGTAAATCTATTTGAACCCACCCTACAAGCTTAAAACCACCCTAGAATTTCCATCCCCAAGTCTCCACACGCCAGTGATGTTTCTCTCCAGATGACCCTTAAGGAATGTGGGGGTGGGGAATGTTTTCTGTGGTACCTCTGGGGCACGTTAAAATGTGTGTGTCCTTTAGGCACTAGATTACATGGCTTTTATATTAACTGAGATGTGGGTTGATATGATCATTTCTAAACCTTGTCTTTTTTTTTTAAATGGGCACATGGGGAAGGAGGGAGGGAGGGGAAGCTATGCTAACAACCCTCTGTTTAAATCATGCAGTATTGTTGTTGATGATTTGTTATATGGTAGCACCTAGAAGCGCACTGCGCTAGGTGCTGTACGTAGACCTAGCAAGAGACAGTCTCTGCCCCAAAGAGATTACAGTCTAAATAGACAAGACAGGCATGGGGTGGGGCGAGAGGGAGCATTCTCTCCCCTTTTGCAGATGGGGGACACAGGAATAGAGATGTGAAGTGACTTGCCCAAAGTGATGCAGGGAGTTGGTGGCAGAGGTGGGAATTGAAACCACATCTGCTGAGTCCCAGTCCAGTGCTTAATCCACTAGAGAGAAAGGAAGAGAAGACAAATGGAGACTCCTCTTTGAGGTTTGAGCTTTGGAGACCCTACCCTATGGCTCTGGTTCATTTGGTAGATAACTGGAGAGCTCTGTAGTTTGCTTCCTTCCTTCAGAAGTCTGCATTTCTGAAATGAATAACCGAAGAAAAATGGGTTTGGCGTCATTTGAACCACGGGAAGGTTTTGCTTCTATTTGCTCTTTACAATGCTGAGCCGATACAAGCTGATCTGCGCTTAAGTTTTCCTGGCAGAAGTATTTCAGTTAGGGGTCTGACTCTTTCTCTTCTTTACCAGGATAGTTATGCCGGTAAATGCCATAGCGTGGGTAAAGTTTTACCGGTGTGAAGGTGCCTTATACGCGTAGAGCTTGTCCTCGCACAGGAAGGAGAATGGCCGTATGCAGTTGTATGTATCTTTGTACCAGGATCACTTGGTCCGTGGTAGGGGGTTGTATAGCTGCAACTCCACTGGCTTGGTTAAAGCGGCACAATTTCTAGTGCGGACAAGGCCTAGGTAAGGGAAGAGAGCAAGCTGTTTCTCGAAGCTACGCAAAGAGAGCGCTGTGACCGCTCCAGTGGTGCGGAATGAGGTGCCTTCCGGCTGCAGGGTGTTTCACCAAGGGAGCATTTAAACAGAGACTCTCTATCAGAGCACAATCCAAGGTGTCCGTTGTGGCCCATAGAGCCCTTCATAGTTTTGGTTCCTGCCGTGGTGTTGTGCTTGACCCTTTGGCTGGCATCAAAGCGCAGCTTTCCCTTGCTGTCCTGCCTGGCCTCAGCCTAACGGCCAGTCTCAGTGGGGATCCTAGAACCTCTCTGGTCCCTGGGTCCTGTTGTGTGGCTGCCATTTCATCCGATTTCCCTCCTGAATCAGCTGTGGCCACCGTCACACCATCGCAGTGCCTCTCCTCTGACTAGAAGATGGGCTGTGTGGCGCTACCCCTCCTCTCACCGGGCGGCCACCAGGAATGCTCTGCGAGTTGGCCAGTGGTGACTGCTGCCCTAGGGGGCACTGGGACCTTGCGGGTCTGGGCAACACGTGTTACACGTTTTCACTGTCTTGGGTCTCCTGCATGGCATCACGAGGGGGTGGGGACTCATAGGATGCTGTCTTACTTCTTTGTGCTCGTGGCTCTCCTGGCTGCAAAGTCCAGCGTGCTGCTGAGTACATGGGGCCTTGATTATTCTGGGGCTTTGCTGTCTGTGAACAGCGGGACAATGGGACCAGACTTTTCCCTTCCCCGTCTCACCATCAGAGGTCACTATAGTCTGTGGATGAAATGTCTGGGACAGGAGATCTGAGGGCACCAGCGCTGTGATCTCCTGTCCCAGGCATTTCATCCCGGTGCTGTGAGGGTGGTGCAGGGGAAGGGAAAGTTTCGATCCCATTGTTGTGGTGTTCCGAGTGTTTCAAGTCCTGTGCATGGCTGTTGTGGAGGTAAAGTGGTTTCTTCTCCTCCGTGTTAGCATCTGCGAGGTTTCTGGTGGAGAATCTGGGTTGCTGTCATCTGGAAACAGTCGAGTGTTTCTTGCTGTGATAAATCTCCAAGGTTTTCTAGGGCAGAATGTTGCTTTGGGGTGGCTGGTTCTGTGGGGCCAGATGGGTAGCAGGAGGGGATAAAAGCCTTTTGTTTTAATGCCTTACATTTGCAAGGCTTGCTCATTCTGCTCCCCTTGCTGACTCCCATCAGGTTGGCTGCAGTATGCTGTGGGATGGGCGAGGAAGCGGAGAACAAGTACGTGTCCCAGCTCAAGGATGTTTATAACAGCTGCGATACCACGGGCACTGGGTATCTGGACAAAGAGGAGCTGACGGAGCTGTGCCACAAGCTCCATCTGGAGAGGCAGCTGCCGGTACTTCTGCAAACTCTCCTGGGACGCAACCACTTTGCCAGAGTGAGTAGCTGTATGCGACCTGAATGCGGTTACACGCTCCGCTGTGCAAAGGTTAAGTTCTTTCAAAGAGAATGTGAAAATAAATACATGAAACTCAGAAAGTTCTTAAATACCACAGATTAGTACCGGTCTGTCTGTACCTAAATGCCGGAATCCCAGCTGGCGTGAATCCGTGCGGGTTCCGTTGACTTTAGCCGAACTACACACTGACAGACACGAGTTCGGGCTCTGGCCCTGGGACCGTGTAACTGCTGGTGGGGGTCCGTAGGGGAAGTGCAGCAAACTGACTTAAAAGAGGCGGAATGAAAAGCTTGTTGGCTATGAATAGCAGAGCTGTGCGGGTGGGGTGACTGTGTAGATCACATGCTGTTGGAAAGCACTTGGGCTGGGTTGGGCCCTGTATTATTTAATGGCTTTGTCCCAACTCTTCTGGTTTTAGAAACGTTAACGTCTGTTTTTGTGGGACCCGGGCAAAAGTGCGGACGCCTTTAACCCGACAACGGATTGTCTTAATGAGATAAGTTCCTTACCTGACTGCTCACCTGTGCCATGGTGCTTGGCTGCATGGAGGGGACGGGGGCGTTGGCAGCTCCAGGGACTCCTGCTGTGCCTACATGTGCCTACTGTGGGGTTCGTACCCCTTCCTCTGTAGCACCCAGCACTGGGCACCGTGAGAGACCAGATGGGGGAAAGATGACTTGCGTCTCCTGCCCTGCTGCACATAGCATCCATGACCCAGCTGCTCCTGCACGTAACACCCCTGCTGTTCCAGCTCACACCAGTTCAGTTCCACTGCTGCTCTTCTAGCTGGCCCTGTTGGGGCGGTGCTAGTGGGAGGAGTACTGGGGCTTGTCTACACACAGAGTTATACTGGTTTAACTAAGGGCTTGTCTACTCTACAGCCCCTAGGCTACATAGCTCTGCTGGCAGAGCCCCCTCCAGGGGAAATGCAGCATAAGCCCACAGGAGGAGTTCTCCCCACTTAGGCTGGGTCTACACTACAGCGGGGTTCCGACCTAAGATACGCAACTTCAGCTACGTGAATACCGTAGCTGAAGTTGCGTATTTTAGGTCGGCTTACCTGGTGGTGAGGACGGGGGAAAGCTGACCGCTGCCGCCGACTCCGCTGCCGCCTCTTGTCGAGGTGGATTTCCGGAGTCGACAGCAGAGCGATCAGGGATCGATTTTACCGTGTCCTCACGAGACGTGGTAAGTCGATCCCCGATAAACCGATTGCTACCCGCCGGATCGGCGGGTAGTGAAGACGTAGCCATAGCTACCCATCTCCCCGAAGGATGTTACCTATGCGACAGACATGCTCGTCTGTTGCTCTAGTTGTGATTACACTGGGGGTTTTGCTGTCATGGCTCTGTGGGCTGGGGCAGGGGGTGGTCCCCATGTTCCTAGCCGACATACTTCTGCTGGTAAAACTTTGCAGTGCAGATGAGGCCTTAAAATGGAATCTTACCATCAATGTCTCTAACCCAGTACAAAAGGCTGCGTGGAAGGACTCCTAAATCAGGACAAACCTGGTTGAGTCAATTAAGACTTGATCATGAGCCGGTTAAGCTCAAACAAAACTAGCCCCTCAAACTGAAATGAGTGTCCACCCGGGACTGCAGCAATTTAACTAAACCAGTGCAATCAGTGTGAACGAGGCCTCTGCTCCCTGCCCCCACCCATGTTCTCCTTCAGGACTGTCTGGCTCGGGAAGAGGAGAGGATCGCAGAATACTGTAACTCTAATCTCTTTAGAATTGAAGCCACTGGTTCCCAGTGGATCTGGGACAGTCCCTCTGGGCCTGATCCAAAGCCCGTTGATGTCGATGGACGTTCTTTATTGCCTCTGGTGGGCTTTGGATCAGGCCCTCTCTAGAGCATCATGTTAGCTCGGCTAAAGAATTGCAATTGTTGGAACTCTTGTGAGGAGAGGGAGGGAGAAGAAAAAAGAGTAGATTGCTTTATATTGTGGTAGGTGGAACGTGCTCCCACTCTTGCCCCCCCCCATTCCACTTCTCCCAGTGTTTTCTTGTGATTAAAATGCTATGCTGTATTTTTCATGCTGACAAAAGCATCATTAGACTAAACGGTCCAGTCAATTTATGAATGGCAGCAGATCCCCATCCAGCAGTCAGTCACACTCCCGGCAATCGTGTGCAGAGACACTGGGGTTTCACTGAGGGGAAAACAGGAGTCAGAAGTCTGGCTTCCACAGCAAGCTGGCAGGGAAAAGCTCGGTGCGTTCCAGGCCTCTGGCGTTCCTCCCGGCAGTTATACATTCCTTCCACCTACGCCTGTGCTCAGGGTGTAGTGAGATGCGGGAGCGGAGGCGCCAGGGTGATATATGTATGCTGGAGGCTTTGAACCTCTGGGGCATAGCCGGGCGGGCCGTCCCTGAGAGACACTAGAAAAGGGGGTGCAGTTTAGGAGCTACTTAATGCAAGAAATGAGGCCGTCCTGTGTGCGTCACTTTGCCCTGTTTTCTGCCTCCACGTGAGGTGATTCAGGCTCTCGGAGCCAGCTCCTGTCTGTTGCTGGGACAGACCCTCCTTCCTCGGGACTGACTGGCACACGGGTCTGGCAGAGTTGACCTTTGCCCGTATGGTTTGTCTGTCCGTCTGTCTCTCTTGCTGTTTGTGTCTTCTCTCCTCCCTTCCACCTCCCCCAAATCTGTCTGTCCTCTTCTCCCTCCTTGCTGTCTCCACTTCACATGGCTTTGAAGCGATGTCCTGATTTCCTCCTGTGTCGGTGGTGTGGAGGGGGCCCTATGCTGGGTGTATTTAAGTCCCTGTTAAAGCCCTGCTTCTGCCATGCTGCCTACAGCAAATCTAGCAGATTTATGTAAAAGAAATCCCTGTTGCCCTTCCCCCAATCTGTCCATCCTTGGCGTGAGTGCCTCGGACCCATGGGCTGTCTGTCCTCGAATGGCGGGAAACACCTCGTGTCTGGTGGGTGCTGACATTAATGAACAACGCTCCCCTGATGCTAGGTTTGCTTCTGTAAAGCTGGTCTCCAGCCGGAGCTCTTCTTCCTGCTCTGCAAGCACTATGCTAGTGAGGGCTCTGCAGGCAGGATGGAGAGCAGCGCCCCGTGGGAGCTGTTCCCTTGGCCCGGAGGCAGAACCATCAGTGTGGTGAGGGCTGTGATGGCGGGACGAGGAGCCGGGGTTGAGCACTGTTCGGTGGTCTAACGTCTCATTTCCTTGCTTCTGTAGCCTTGTGTCAAGTATGGTGTGTGGGCTGGCGGGAGGGGGAGGGCCAGCTCGGCTGCTTCACAACAAAGTTTTTTCTGCCTAAATTTCCTTGGTTTTCAATTTTTTTAAGCAGAGGAGGAGGGCTGGTCCAAGGAAGTGGGGGGGGGGGGGGGGACTGGTTGTGAGAGGGGCGTGGGTCTGAGCTGCTGACAGAGAAGACTTTATCCCGAGGCAAAGATTTTATGTGACTGCTCTGCTGACATACTCCTTTTCAGGCCTGATGAATGAAATGAAGGGACGTTACCTAGTGTTTATTTAACAAAAGTGAAGATCTCCTGCAAACGAATCCCTCATCCAGTTTTTGTTAGAAGCCCTGCTTTTCAAAAGAGACAAGCGGACAAAAAATGATGAAGCTGCCACAGACCAAGCTCAACAAGAAACCGATTTGAAACCCTTCCTATAAAAAATGGGTGAAAACCAAAACTGCATAGACAGGCAATTCTGCCTAGGGCAAATAAGCTGTGACGCTGTGTAGTTTCACAGTGAAAGGCCACCTCCCCAGAAAGAAAACTAGTAATTTCTATCCCTATTCTCAGGACGTTTCAGATGCAGTTTTAACTGTGGCATCCGCACCCCCAATGTGTACGTGATGGATGGACAGACAGACACACACCACATGGTTTTCTGAGTGCTGGTGGTGCTAGGTTAGAGCAGCTTCTCCGTTACAGGTTAAAAGGAGAGTCAGTTGGTGTAGGGCCCAGCTACAGCTGTGCAGAACTCGGGGCAATAGCCTGACCTGTTTGAAGTCCATGCTACAGCTTCCATCAATTTCAGTGGGGTCACGATTTTGCCCCAGGGTTTTCTTCTTGCAGGAGATTGTACAAACTGGCTTTTAGTGTTGGTTTACATGAGTTTGCGTCCCCTGAGTTTCACTCTTGAGTTCAGACAAATCTAAAGCTCAGATGAACTGCAACTTTCATGGTTTCAGCGCAGAACCATAAATCAGTCTGGTGCTATTTTAAATAGGCCCCAGGCTTGTGAACCTTTTGATAGGTTTGGGGTAAGTTTTTGGAGTCTGTAACAAAATCTGCGCTTCTGAACTTTCCCGCAGTTGTTGGGTGATTGTTGGTGTTTCCCCTTTTTATAGATATCCCCAAATCATTGTAAACAAAATTGTTAACTTCTGATTGGCTAATTATCTCAGCTTCTGAAAAGTAACATTCCAAAGCCGCTGACTTGATTTGCCTGCCGCGAGGACTGTGAGAGGAAAGATAGCTAAACAATGATATCACATATGGTTTGGTTTTTTTTAAACCATTGCAAAACTTTTGGTTACATTCATTTGCTCCCTGTTCGGTTCAAGGAAACAAATGCAATTTCTGCTTTTATCAGCAGAAAAGACATAGCTATAGACTGATTATTATTTAATTAGAATGGAAGTGATCATAAAATGATATATTTCATGATTCTGAGGAAAGGAAGGCGTTAGAGCAGCAGAATAAGGACAATGGACTTCAAAAAAGCTGACTTCACAAAATCAGAGAAGTGGTAGGTAAGGTCCCCTGGGAAGAAAACCTAAGGGATAAAGGAGTTCAGGAGAGGTGGCAGTTTCTCAAAGAGACAATATTAAAGGCACAATCGCAGGAAGGAGGTGGATAAATTGGAGAGAGTCCAGAGGAGAGAAACAAAAATGATCAAAGGTTTAAAAAACTTGAGCTATGAGGAAAGGTTAAAAAAACTGGGCACGTTTAGTTTTGAGAAAAGCGGACTGAGGGGGACCTGATACCAGTCTTCAAAGATGTTAAGGGCTGTTCTATAGCAGACAGTGATCAGTTGTTCTCCCTGTCTGCTAAAGGTAGGACAAGAAGTAATGGGCCTAATCTGCAGCATCCCAGGACAGGAAACTGGGAAGGTTTAGATTAGCTACCAGGAAAAACTCTCTAACTACTCGGGGCAGTTACGCTCTGGAACAGGCTTCCAAGGGAGGTTGTGGAATCCCCGTCACTGGAGGTTTTTAAGAACCAGTTGGACAAACCTCTGCCAGGGAGGGTCTAGGTTTACTTGGCCCTGCCTCCGTGCAGGGGGCTGGACTTGATGGTTTCTTGAGGTCCCTTCCAGCCCCACATTTCTATGATTCTATGAATTTAGTTGCCCTCTCTCACACTTTCAATCTCTCTCTCTCTCCAAGTATGTCAACGACTGTCTTCTGTTTTACTTGAATTGCATGCAAACTGATAGCAGTTTTCAGGTATTTAAAAGGGTGTCATAAGGAGGAGGGAGAAAACTTGTTCACCTTAGCCTCTGAGGATAGAACAAGAAGCAATGGGCTTAAACTGCAGCAAGGGAGGTCTAGGTTGGACATTAGGAAAAAGTTCCTAACTGTCAGGGTGGTTAAACACTGGAATAAATTGCCTAGGGAGGTTGTGGAATCTCCATCTCTGGAGATATTTAAGAGTAGGTTAGATAAATGTCTATCAGGGATGGTCTAGACAGTATTTGGTCCTGCCATGCGGGCAGGGGACTGGACTCGATGACCTCTCGAGGTCCCTTCCAGTCCTAGAATCTATGAATCTATGTTTGAACATGATTGGTTTGCTAGCGTGAGATCTCTGAGAACATGGGGATGCTCTGATGCAAACAAAATGCATTTTAAAAACCTGCAAGGATGGAGGGGACCTGACATGTTTGTGGGGATTGGACTGAGGGGAAAGAGCTGAATAACTAGTTCTGTGTCCCAGCAACTAGATGTGCCCGTATTAGTCACTGCATCTAACAGCGATGAAAGTACGCTACCTACATGCTTCTGCTAAAATGACCAGACTTGAAAGAGTGTGCTCTATTTACCTTTTAAATAATCAGCGTAGAACATCCGCGTTAACGTTCCCTTTAGATAGACGGGTCAGTGAATGCTTCTCCGAACTACTGTTTCAAGCTGTTTGCTTCTGAGATGGTCTAGCAGTAATTCACGTTGGGAATGTTTCGTTCTCAGCCTCAAGGAATGAAAGCTACGAATCTGGAGTACAACAGGCAGTAGAGGGTGAATTGTCAGCAGGTTCCACAGAAAACACCAGGCTCTGCTTATATACTCTTTAGCTTCAGTCACTATTTAGTTGTATGTATTATATACTGCTACGTATATTGTGGTAATGCCTCCGAGGCTCAGTCAGGAGCAGACCCTGTTGTCTATATATGTAGCATTGTAGTTTTCCTTTGGTGTTGGGTTCATTAGGGAAAAGGTGTGCTAGCCAGTGTGTTAATACCCTAGTGTAGACACATCAGGTGCTAGTTCTGGCAAGATGCCTGTCCAGGATAAACCCTTGACTCCCCCAGGGCTTACTGTGAGCAGCTAACACATGTTAAAACTGCCCTCTGCCTTGTCTGCATTAGGTGTTAACTCCTGTTCACTAGCATGTGTTTTAAAACACCCCATTTTTCCTTAGTGTAGACGTGGCCCCTGAGAAGAAGAGCATCACACTGAGTCCCAGTAGCCTGGTAGCTGATGCCCAAGGCAGAGGCAGCCAGTGGGAGCCAGGCTGCAGGTCCCAGACAGTGCAGGTCCCCACCCAACGTCTCCTACCAGATGCTGCAATAGCTGAGGCGAACCCCCCAGGTTATCTCTGAGCAACAGAGGAGGACAGCGCGTTGCTTCTGCACATTGCAGGCTCCCAGCAGAAGCATGAAACGAGGCTTGTGAGGCTGAACTGAATACTAGCGACCGCCCCAGGTGTCTGACGGGAGGCCCGATGTGCGTATTCAGCCTCTTTTCCTGTCTCCACTAGGTTAACTTTGAAGAGTTTAAAGAAGGGTTCGTGGCAGTGCTGTCCTCCAACATTGACCTGGGCATTTCCGACGAGGAGAGCAGCTACTTGGAACCAGGTGCTGGGAGACTTTGCAGCTGGTCATTTGGTTTTTTCCTCTGCTTCTGCTGCCAGTTGAAGGCCTTAACTGCTGGTGCATCTACGAATTGCCAAGGCAGAGAGGAAGGATGGTCCAGTGGTTAGGGCTCTGGCCTGGAACGAAAGAATCGTGGGTTTGATTCCCTGCTCTGGCACGGACTTCCCGTGTGAGCTTGGGCAGGTCATGCAGTCTCTCTGTGCCTCAGTTTCCTGTCTGTGAGACGGGGATCACAGCACTGCCCTGCCTCCCCGGGGTGCTGAGGATAAATCATTAAACACTGCGAGGTGCTCAGATACCACAATAGGTCCTTCCTAGATCTTAAGGGACCACTGTGATCATCTAGTCTGACCTCCCGTACCTTATTTCTAGTCTGGATTTGTCTAGCTTCAGTGTCTAGCTGGTGGAGCTTGTTAGACCTTTGTCTTCTAGCCTGAATATCCCTTTTATTATCCAATTTCTGTTCCCCAGGTAGGGACTGAATGATCATGTCACCCCTTCCTTCTGTCTTTGATAAGCCAAGTAGATTGAGCTGCTTGAGTCCTTCACTAAAAGATTGGAAAACATGCCTTATAATGGTTATCGTGGCTCTCCTCTGAACCCTCTCCAATTTATCAGCATCCTCCTTGAATTATGGATGCCACACCTGGACACAGCAGCCTAGTAGGGGTTGCACCAGTGCCCAAGACTGAGGCAGTGGGGCCAGATCAGTACCTACGATGGACAGTTTTCTAATCGTTACGCTTTCTGGCAGGGTGGGGTGTGAATTTTGCACGGAGTGACCTGGCAACTTCAGCAAAGTGAGGGCTAGCAACAGAAGGGTTAATTCAGGATTGTTAAATCCCACTCATCACTTCAGTATTGGGCTTTTCCAGACAAATAGCCTCTGTCGGTACCCGGCCACCTGCCCAGGTGTTTCCTTTCTGGGATGGCGAGGGATGCAGCAGGGTCACGGAACATGCACAGCTTTAGGCTGTACATGTCACAGCATGCCCAGCTGTTCCTCATTTTTTCTTGTTGCGGCAGGACTGGACGCACACGTTGCCATACACTAGTAAAACGGGCAACGGGACCATGGTGTGTGAGACTGGTGGAGCACAGCAGGGCGTGAGCTTTGGCACTCTCCCCAGCAGCGCATTAGAGCTAGGATGGTTTAGAATGGGGGGAAAGGTTATGTCTAGAAGCGGTGGGCTGGAAGCAGGAATCGCTGGGGACAGTTGTCTGGCCTGTGTTAATCAGACAGGAGGTCAGACTAGATGGTCACATTGGTCCCTTCGGGCCTGGGAATCTCTGGATCACTTGATCCTTCAAACACTGGAATACTCTTGTAATAGGGCTGGGAGAATGGCCTTGGGGGTAGAGCACAGAACTGGGGAGACAGGCTTCAGTTCCCAGCTCTGCCCCAAACTTCCTGCATCACCTTGGGCCAGTCGCTTAATCCACCCTGTGCCTCGCTTCCCCCTCTGACAGGTGGGGACTGTCCTTCCCTACCTCACCGGGTGCTGTCCGAATAAAAACCATTGTGAAGCTTTTTAGGCGCTGCGGTGGTAAGGGCTATGTGAGGACCCAGAAAGCTAGAATACTGGAGCACACAAGCACAGCTGAGTCCAGCAAATATCAGCTGCTACAATTTATCTTGCGTACCCTACACTTTATCTGCCTCTGGTTACACTACGTACAGAGGTTTGAGTCTGCTACCTGCTTACGTGCTAATATGTGGGCCTTTGGCTCAGGCAATAGACGCCTGCTTTAAGGTCCTGAGGTCCCAGGTTTGGTCCCTGCCCATGATGGTGTGATCAGGGACACCATTACTCAAAGCCCATTGCTGCTTAAATAACAGCTGAAAAGGGAAACGATTTCTCTTTACTTGGTACGCGTCTGACTCCTAATGGGGGAAAGGGCAGAATGAGTCACTCTTCAGACTGGCCGTTCTCTCTGTGTTGGTGATTTGTGTGTCCGAATAGAAAGCTATTTGGCCTCTAGAGAAAGCAAGGGAGAAATGCTGTAGTTCCGCAGTGGAAGTCACTGTGGCAAGTGCTGTCTGTATTCTCAGTCTGAGCTGCAAGGTCTTTTTTTGTTTTATATAAGCAGCAGAGTTTGAAAGGGAATTTGTTTAGACGTCTGTGTGTCCCAGACCGAGACTGATTTTTTTCCCTCCTAGCTGTCCCAGATGATGTCAAGCCCAAGTATGTGAATGGGGCTAAGTGGTATGGCCGCTGGACGAAGCCAGAGTTGCAAGAAACCGAGGTGGAAACCACCAAGTATTTACAAGATCAGCAAGTTAAAGCCAGTGTGAAAAGTCAGCTGAGACGCTCGGCATCTCTGGAGAGTGTGGAGGTAGGAATGACTCATTCCCCCGCTCCTTGGAGCAGGCTGGCCAGATTTAACTCAGCCTTCTTGCTTGATTGCAAATAATGTTTAAACAAAAGGCCGCTTTCACGGTGGTCTCACCTGTTCTGATGGGTTGCCTGTGGCAATCCTTGAGGAGTGTCGATCTGCATTGGGTTAGCACGGGTTACAAAGCCTCTGCTAGAGTGGGTCGTAGGAAGAATGCTGCACAGGGACCAGGCAGAGTTGATACAGGTGCCATTGGGACATTGGCATGGCACTCTGGGGGCCTATTTTGCATGGCAGAGTCTGCGTAGAGTCCCTGCCATCCAGAGCCAGCAGCCAGACGGCAATACCTTACCGCTCCAGTTACCCCGTGGGAAGAGATTCCCCCTTCATACGGTGAATTAAACGGAAGAAAATAAAATGTATTGGAAAAACATTTACCCGATCCATGAAATGTCCCCAGCTGGAAATGGAATGGACAAAGGTCAGGGACGTTCCAACTTGGCTGCCTCGCTGTGCCCGACCCCACGTCCAGAGAAGTCACTGGGCACCGTAGTGCAGCTCGGGAGGCCCGAGTGCTACTCCTGGCACTGGGGGAACAGGTCACTTCCGCTCTCGGGGGCCTCCCTTTTCCCTCCCACCCCGGTTCTGTCCTGTCCCTGTAGGATGTCAGCTGTTCGGGCAGAGGCTGTCTCTTGCTACCTACCTACTGCAGTGGTGCCCTGAAGGTGCTTCTGTGATACAAATACCGATTAAAGTCAGAGCAGGTCACCCTGTAAGGCTATTAACAGGGGTTCTAAGTAAGTTAAACTATTACACCTAGGACCCGATATCGACGTCATGCTTCAAAACCCATTAATGCGCAGGAGCTTTGCCCCTCTTTGTGGGACGGGTTGTCATTGCTTGTGCTGTCTCCAGGGAGAGCTCTGGTTAATGAAAAACAGCTGATGAGTCAACTGGATGCATTATTGTTAAAGAAAATATTAACAGAATCTAAGAAAAGAAATGTAGATTGCTTAGAACATGCTGCTTAGAACATGCTGCTTTGAGACAGCGCTCTCTCAAAATAAAAATACAGGGCAAGGAGAACAGGAACAAACTCATCCTTAGACAGAAAACTATTTTGAGAGAAAACAAATGTTACCCTCCCCCATGGCCGAGCTCCCCGGTGGTCCAAAAATGCAGCTCCATGGCTTGGCCCCAGTCCTGCAGGCTGGCCTGCATGGGTGGATCCCTGCACACAGCGCCCGCCCCCCTTCTTCCCCCCCCTCCCCCCCCCGAGCCCTGCTGGGGGCAGACTCAGGGCCCTTCGCTTCCTTGTTTTGCTCTGGTGTCTGATTTCCTTTTAGAAGAACGGTTTTGTTCTTTGCTGTTGCATTCTTCACGTCCCACTGTTACAGCTGCCGTTTTTGTAAGTTGCCTTAACTGTCTTTTTTTTTTTTATTAACATAAAAAAATTGATCAGCAGAGACTGGCTGGTGTGTAGGGAAAAAATGATTGAAGGCTTTACAAAGAGCATTCGTCGAACGCTACTTTCTTTTAAAGTGCCCCTGTGTGTTCCCCTTGGTCTTACCCCACGGGAAGCAAGTGACCAGTCATTTCTGAACCCCTCTCAAGGCGTTAACATAACAGACGAAGTGTTGCCCAGTGGTTAGGTGCTGCCGGGACTTGGGAGACCCAGATTAAATTCCCAGCTCTGTTGCAGACTCCTGGTGTGACCTTGGGCCAGTCACTTAGCCTCTCTGTGCCTCAGTTCCCATCCGTACAAGGGGGATTGTCGCCCTGCCCAGGGTGATGCGGATAAACACATTAAAGGCTGGATGCTGTAGTGACGGGGGCCATATAAGCACCTAGGGAAGACAGATAAATTAGGGCTGGCTCTTCAGAGAGCTGCCACTCAGGCCTTCTGAAAATCATACGTGTCTTTAATGTCTCTTGAAATGGGCACCCAATAATTGAGGGTCCCATAATTACTAGTTGCTCTTGATGATCTTGTCCAGAGGTTGTAGAACTGGTCAGTGTAACATCCTTTAATACAAGATAAGTAATGCAAAACAGTGAGTTAATAACCTTGTCTTTCATGGGTGAATGTGTAGGGTTCTGGAGTTATGATGTTACAGATAAATTCTAATCAAGGCTTTGCATATTAAATGTACAGCTAAAAATAATAGGTGAACGATCACTTTGTATTTGATAATAGGGCTTTTAAAAGGTTAACAGTCTCTGATGACTCATGTCAGCCCTTTTCACTTACCCTAAATCACAAACCATTTTTCCACCCACCAGAATTTCTCTGATACTTAATCCTGTTCACACATTGTTTCTGCAGAGCCTTAAATCAGATGATGAAGCAGAAAGTGCTAAAGAATCACAGAATGAAATGTTAGCGGCACAAGGTAGAAAATCAGTGCTCCTCTGTGTAAAATGCTTTTGGAGTTAACAGGCTTTCTGAATGTTTATGGCTCAGATCCTTTGTGACTGGAAACCCAGTTACGCGAGCTGAAGAGCTGACCCTGCGTTTGATTCCCGTCCCTCAGGAGGATCTGTTGGGTTGGGGGTGGGGGTGGCTCCTTTTTGCTGCATTGGTTTAGAAAAGACCAACATCATACTTCGCTTGTAGACACAACTCTGTTCGAGGTGATGCTGTGGTGATCTGAAGTGTAGTGAGCTTTGACAGGCTTCAATTCTTCCTACAGCTGCCGTATTAATCTTCTAAAAATATCCAAGATGAACTCCTGCTATTTAATTAGGGAGCCCGGAACTGATGAAAAATGAAGCTCTCTCTCTAATTAAGGTTACGACTACCTTTCTAGTCTAATCCAAAATTTAATCCCAGTCACCTTTTAGCTTCGATATCTTCGATGCTCCCAACGATGCATGTGATCTGTGGCCAGAGAATTTTCTTTGGCAAAGTTTTTGGAGTTGAATCAGAAGCATCTGATTTAAGATTCCTGATAAGAAATTCTTAGGTTTTAAAAATAAATGCTATAAACACCCCTGATCTTTAGAATACAGGGTCCTACGGATGCAGCTTTTCTTTGCCAAAAATGGAGGCTTTAAAATAGTGCCATGGGACAGTACTTAGAGGGCCCCATCCAGCTCCCATTGGTGGCAGGGGAGAGACTCTCGTTGAGTTGAGTCAGACCTGTAGTGAGCTCTTTCTGGGGGCCCCACGTGCTCATTAGGAACAGTAGCTTCTCTCTGTTAGTATAACTGATGCATGGTTAATAATTTTAGGCCAAATGAGCACCTGGAATCCTGACCTATTTGACAGCCCCCGGCGGACAGCCAGCCCTTGCTTTGACATGACAGAGGGTCAGATTCGGGGCATCTGGGAAGAACTGGATGTAGGGAACACCGGCTACCTCAGCAAGCGCGAGCTGGCGACGGTCTGTACGAATATTGGGCTCAAAGAGCTGGAGCAGGAGGTGAGTTGGGGGAGGCGTGGAAATGAGCCCATTGGGAAGGCAACCTGGTTAGTAAAAGCACATTGTCAGGAGAAACGGCTTTCAGAAATAAATCATGAAGTGTCCAGACACTTGCAGATATGCTTCAAGAATATAGCCAGATCCTTAGCTGGTGTGCAGCTCCATTCACCTCAGCGGAACTGTCTTGACTAGCTGAGGATCTGGTCTGTAATATTTATGAAGCAATTAACAGTATCCTTTTTAAACACAAAACCTAAATTCAGTACTGATTTCTAGCCAGCCATGTGACTCAAAGGGCTTGTCTACTCACACAGTGCTGCAGTGACGCAGCTGCACCAGGGTAGCACTTTAGCGAAGATACTACTAACTGCCGGGAGAACTTCTCTTGTTGGCGTAGGTAATCCACCTCCGCGAGAGGCGGTAGCTCTGTCGACAGGATTTTTCACACCCCTGAGCGACGTGGTTACGCTAATGTAAGTTTGTGGTGTGTACTTGGCCTGACATTTCTGCATAATCCGATCCATTGACATCTGTGGGAAAAGACTATTTCATTAGCCAATTAACAGTGCACCCTCTGCTCAATTTGGCCCCAATCCTGCAGTGTGCTACACACCGGCAGACCCCTGCATGCACACGGACACCTGATGAAGTCAATACCACATTGTCACACATTCCTCTCTTTCCTGGGGATATAAACTAATGTATGAGATGGAGGCAGCCTACAGTGGTCCCAGCCCAATGGCTACATGGGGATGTAGGGATGGTGGTATAGCTAAAGCTCTGGAAGTCGGGAAATCTAGGTTCTAGTCTGAGTTCCGTGAAGTAGCTGGTTTGCAGAGCTCCATTCGCATTCCCCAAGTGCATTTGTAAATACAATGCCACGACCTGTGTCTGGTGTGTATTGCTTTTATCCCTATTCCTCCCTAATTGGAGTAACTGATGTGGATTGCGTGTATCTACATGGAGTCACTGCATGCCTTTGTATTTACTGCAGTTTCTCTTTTGGTGTGGAGAGGTGGAAGGGTTAATTCTGGTTTATTGTAGATTCTGTTCCTTATGTAAAAACAATAGGGAACTTTATTCTTTTGGTTTTTGAAAAAGATGTTGATTTCCAGTGAATGCGTCTGGGATCTTGCATGTGGCTGATGTCTGCTGACTTTTTCCCAACGGTTTTCTGCAGGAACTGGAAGATTTATTTCGTAGGCTGGACAGAGATGGAGATGGCAGAGTGAGCTTTCAGGAGTTCGAGCTTGGCTTGTCCAGCCACGGGCCTGTTTCTTTTCCTGTTTTTTCCACGCCTGTCAAACAGCCCAGGCAGCTGCCAGATCACCAGGTGAGTCCGGGGCAGGACTCCCAAGAGTCCTGGATAACTCCCAATGTAGGGCCTGGCTAAAGAGCCTGGGAGCCAGTGGAAAGACTCCCATTGACTTCCATGGGGTCTGGATCAGGCACGTTCCAGTGCTCTGCGTCAGATGCTTTCCGAGCAGAGTTCCCAGGGAAGCTCAGCTACCAGCGTAGAAGGATTTGCCCCTCTCCCCTGCAAAGAGGGGCTGCTCTGACTGATGTTTTACTGCTTACAGCCCCTCCTGGTCCCTGGGAAGCAGAGCTAGCCAGAGCAGTGTGCTCTCCAGCCACACCCCTTCCCATTCTGGCTATGTCCCCTGCTGACACATCCCTGTGTTGCGGGCTGGGAGTGGGGCTGGCACAGAGCCCTTGTGCCAGTTCTGCACAGCTGGGACAGCCCTCGGCGAGGGTGCATTCTGGGGGTGGGGGCTTTAAGGCCTCTTACGCTGCCAGACTGACGTCACGGGGCCTGAGTGTAACAGCCTCAGGCCTCCTGAGCATCAGGACAGGTTGTGTCCAGCCTGGTGACGATGGTAAGGGTGGCGTCTGGCACCCTCTCCACTCCCCACCTTTGTGCACCAACCCGGGCAGAGCACAGTTCCCGCGGTGCAGCCCCACATGTCTAACTAGATCACTGTCCCGAAGGACGTGCTCTGAAACGCACACGCTGCACGGCATGGCAGGCTAGCGCTGGTGTTGGAACGTTGCTCCTGAGTGTCTGGACTCCATGTGAGTTTTAACTATGCAGTCTGCGTATTTCAGTAGCGCTGTTCTCCTACCTGTCACGTGAGCAGTCTGTGAGCTGAGGGATGTCGTTTATGGCCTAGTTAGGTCAGTGGGTGGCTGTGCGTGTTTGAGAGACCGTACCAATCTCTCGCTTCCCCTCGCACACCAATGGTTTCACTGCTGTGAAAAGAGTCTGGATTGTCAGGTAGTTTGTGCTGTCAAGCTTTGTTCCCAGCTGCTAAAGAGGCTGGTCCTGCGTCCTGGGCCTGTTAATGCAGCTTTTGTTCAGCATGGAAGAGGCTCTTTGCAGTTGGTGGGTTTTGCTGATTGTTTGGCCCTTCAAAGCTTTCTAAGGGCTAGTCTACACTGGCCATGGCAGCGCTTTAACGTGGCTTGTGTAGTTGTGGCAGAGCGCTGGGAGAGAGCTCTCCCTGCGCTCTAAAAAACCCTCCTCCACGAGGGGCGCAGCTCCCAGCGCTGGGGCACTGTCTACGCTGGCGCTTTACAGCGCTGAAACTTACTGTGCTCAGGGGGGTGTTTTTTCATCCCCCTGAGTGAGAAAGTTGCAGCGCTATAAAGTGCCAGTGTAGACAAGCCCTAATTCTGCCTCCTGCAGTGGAGGGCAGGGTGGGACGAGGGCGGGACTCACTCAGCAGGAGTTAGGTGATAAAAGAGAAGTGTCCGGGGGAAGAGAATCACTCGTCTGTCTCCCATCAGAAGCGCGTGGAAACCTCTCCAATCTCCCTGGTGTATCTGACGCGGTCCAAACTTTGCCCCTCACAGAGGAGCGAGTGCTGAGCGTGAAGGAAACAGGCTGTTTCAGTTTACATTCTGCTCCACTTGCCCAAGCCCTGTCTCCCTGTCTGCGCTGCTGTTTTGAGCAATGTAGTGTCCTGTTGCCTCCCTGCTGCTGGAGCCCTTTCCCCGCTGCCAGGAAGGAATTTGGGCCGCTTTCCCCACTGCCTCTGCTCTGCCAGAGCCTTTCCCTGACTCCTGTAGCTCCCCACTGCAGCATGGATGCAGCCTGCATTTCACCGTGGCAGGTAGCTACCCGGACACTACGCGGCAGTGCCAGTGGTGCATAGTGTAGACGCAGCCTACTAGCCCGCCGGAGACCCCGGATATGTACTCAAGTTGCTAGGCCATGCTGAAGTCTCTCTGCCGGTGCATCTTTGTGCTGTTGTTACTCACCCTATGCCTGCCTGTGCCGCAGTCACATCGTCACTTCCAATGTAGGTACGTGCTGAGAGGCTCATTGAGCTGCCCCCTGTCTGACCGGAGAGAGAAGGGAAACCCTACACCACTGGAATGAAGAAATATTACTCCAGTTATGTCAGCTTCAGGACTATGGGCCACCCTGCCTTTGTATTGACTCTGGATACGTCTACAGCGCAATCCGCGGTGTGATTGCAGCATCTGTAGACACACCCGCGCTAGCCTTGATCTAGCTAATTCAAATAATAATAGCAGTGAAGCCGCGGCAGGGTGGACTAGCTGTTTGAGTACGTACCCAAGGTGCCCAGTGTGGTGTCAGGGCCCATACTGCAACTTCACTGCTGTTCGAACTAGATCAGGTATGTCTTCATGTGCCAGGCATAAACTCCTGGGGAGATCATCTCGCTAGTGCATGGAAATAGGCTTAATCAATGTTTTCTTACTATAACAGCAATAAATATTTGACACTTGGTGCTTTTCATTCCCAAGGATCTCCAAGTGCTCACTAAATAACCATAGCACTAAAATGCAGCTACTTCTAGGGTGAAGACAATCAACTGGCCCACTACATAACAGCGGGGAAAGGGTCAAGGAGACCAGAGGAAACCATTACTCTTTCCAAATGGGCCATGAGATCTTTTGGCTGAGGATTTCACTGGGGATTTCAGGGGACTGTTCGAGGAGTGAGGCACTACTCAACATGAGTAAGGGTATCAGAATCTGGCCCTAGGTGTGCCCTTTTAGCCACGCTCTTTTTAGCTTACCCCAAGATGTTCTTGGCTCTGCAGGGACGTCCTGGCTATCGGAATCTGGTCCCTGGAGTAAATTGCACTGAGCTTAATTTGTCTGCCTCACATGTGCTGGTTGACCTATCAGAATCTGAACCTAGGTTTGGGGTTGTTCCATCACCCCCACACCAAATGAGTTCCACTTTCTCTAGCGACTGACACTTCCAAAGTGCTCTGCCAAACACACCCAACCGATTCTCCCTGAGACTGTGTGGCGCAGGCCGGTATCGTGATGCTCTGCTCCCTCTGGGGAACTGACACACAAGCAAAGGGCCAGAGTTTTAGAAGTGGCCTCTAATTTTGCAGGGTTGGGTGCCCAGCTTTAGACCCCTCCAGGTGACTTCCAAGAGATGCGGAGCAGCCCCAGCTCTCCCTGAGTTCATTGGGACCTGCCGAGCATCCGCAGCTCCAGAAGTCAGGCTCTTGGTGTCCGAAGCTGAGCATTCAGAACTCAGAGAACCCAGAATTGGAGGGCGTTCTTGAGAATTTGAGCCTAGGTGGTTTGCCCAAGATTCCGTATCAATGTCACAGCAGCACTGGGCTTCCTGGCTCTGAGCACCTGGATCCTGCTGCTTCTCAGCTCAGAGTGTTTTCATCTTCTCCAGTATTTATTACATGCCAGCAGTCTGTTTGCAGGACTGAAGCATGTGTTCTCGATGCCTCAAAATGCCTTGCTCGGCTGACTTATCTCAGTTGATTTCCAGGCTTCCAAGGAGAATGGGCTTAGAATTGCTACTCCGTTGTTACTGTCCAGCTATGTGTGTCTACATCCCTTCTCCTGCATCGACGACGGCAGCGGCTTTGCGAGTCCTGCGCAGATCCTCTCCATCTGGGCCCAGGAAGGAGTTGAAAACTGCAAGGAGATTCTCAAGGTTTTACACATTACTTTGATTGATTTTAGAATTGCTTTTCTGGTGTTACTGCGAGCCCTCTAGCTTCCTTACGGGGAATGGAGGAGGGTGGCAGATGCCAGATTTGCATTGGGGATTTCTATCATCTGTAGCCAAGGATGGCTCAATGATTAGTGTGCTAACCCGGGACTTGAGAGAGCCGATTTCCTTCTATCCTGCAGACTCTTTGTGTGACCTGGGGCAAGTCACTTAGCGTCTCTGCTCCCCATCGGTGAACGTAGGGGTGTTGTGAGCAGGGAAGTGCTGTTTCAGGTTGCGAGGTGCTCGGATGCTCCGGTAATGTGGGGGGCGGGGGGCAGTTGCATACCTGAGAGAGAGAGAGAACTTTAGGGGGCTGTTCTTGGGTTTTTGCAGAGTCTGGATTTCAGCCTGGAGGAGAAAGTGAGCCTGGCGGAGCTGGCCGTGGCCTTTGACAACGAGCTGATGGTTTCCAAGAGTGGAGTCCAGCACGCGGCCTTTGCTTCCTACAAACACGAGCTGCACTACCTAGAGTAAGGCGGCCGCTCTCCCCGTCCTGCTTGGCGGGAGGTTTCTGTACTAGAGCCGACAAAGGCTCTTCTTTGTTTTGGTCTCGGGCGAGGTGAGACGTGTGCCGGACGTAACTGCGTGTGGGCACTCGTGGGCTCCCCTGTGGGGGTGCTTCTCTCCGTACGTCGGGAAGCCCGTTGTCATGCTGTCAGCGTCATCTGCCTGTCCTTGCAGGGCCCAGGTGGAGCAGGTCTCCAGGGAGCGAGACAAGGCGAGGCTGGACTTGGAGAAGGCGGAGAAACGAAACCTGCAGCTCGTTAAGGAAGTGGATGATCATCACGCGGCCATGGAGCACCACCACGAGAGCAAACTCAAGTATGAGAGAGCAGCCTGGGTACCTGTGTACAGTGTCTCCTGTGGATTGCTACACAGCCAGCCAGACTCTCTGCTGGTGTGAGCCGGGTGCAGCTCCACTGATCCACTCACTTCAGCGGAGCTTTGCCCGTTTACACCCGTGTGGGTCTAGTGCTCACTGATCTCAGCATTAGCAAGTAACGTGCATGTCTTACGGTACGCATGGTGTGCAGCCCCATTGTGAAGTCTTGCGCTGCCATTAGGCTACGAAGAATTGAATAAGTTCCTAGCAATGTGACTGATATTGACCAAAAACTCACAAGAGTTTGAGTACTTCTACTTTATAGACTTTAAGGCCAGAAGGGACAATCATGATCATCTAGTCTGACTTCCTGCACATTGCAGGCCACAGAACCTCGCCCATCCACTCCTGTAATAGACCCATAACCTCTGGCTGCATTACTGACGCCCTCAAATCATGGTTTAAAGACTTCAAGTTACAGAGAATCCACCATTTACTCTAGTTTAAACCTGCAAGTGCCCCAGGCCCCATGGTGCAGAGGAAAGTGAAAAAACTCCAGGCTCTCTGCCAGTGTGACCTGGGGGAAATTCCTTCCTGACCCCAAATACGGTGATCAATGACCCTGAGCAGGTGGGCAGGACCCAGCAGCCAGACACCTTTGGTATTTGAAGGGAAACGTATATTCACTCCTGTACCAGAGTGAGTTCCCTGTCTGAGGAGGAGCAGAAGTGATGTTCTAATAACGCTTTAATTGGTTTAGGGTTTTTTTTAAACTTGAAAATAAAATTTGACTCATTTTCTCATTGTCCGTGTAGCTAGCCATTTTCTTCCTGTCCTGTTTTTGTGTGTGTGTGTATACACTCACCCTGCCCAGAACTCTCTCACACGTGTTTTGGAGCCAGTTATTCGTGGATGAGAGCAGGGGGAAGTGGCCATTTGAGATACAAGATGCAGGTTTGGATAAGGGGCTGGCCTAGGACCCAGGGGCTCAGGGATCAGTTCCCAGCTCTGCCTCACACTCCGTGTGCCCTGGGATGCATCTCTTTCTCAGAAGAGATGCTTTAGTGCAACCCACATCATTGGGCTCAGTGCCGGGTGACTGAGTGAGGGTCTCTGGCCTGTGCACTACGGGACGTCAGACTAGATGACCTAATTGTCCCTTCTGGCCTTAAAATCTATGACAGTGCTGAGGGTGGGACTTGCCACAGCACCTACGTGACTTGGGAGCACAGGTGCATTGAAAGCCCAAGAGAATTATGCTCCCGCGTCACAAAAGAGCCTTTGAAAAATCTCAGTCTTAAGTCACTTGGCCATGGTGGCTTTCTGCTGGACACTGAGCAGTGACGCTTGTCTGTTGCAGAGATCTGGAGCAAGACTATCAAGGGAAGCTGAGCATTATTAAATCTGACGTGGAGACAGACAGAGCGCTGCTCTTGCAACAAGTGACCGATCAGCACACCAAACTGGAAGCGGATATAAAACTTCTCCAAGGCGAAAAGACCAGCCTGAGGGAGAAGCTGACGTTAGCAGTACAGGTGAAGCAATCGCCCCGGGGAGCCTGCCGCTGCAAGGGGATGCCAGATGGGCAGCCTGGGGTGGTCCTGCCGGATCAACCGGAGAGGCCAGGAGCCAGGCTAACATGGGAAACCTCCTGTCTGATCTCAGTCTTTTTTCTGGCGCTGGGGGAACTGTAACCTTGTTAAATAGGACAGGGGAGGTAGAAACTCTCATATCACCTAGAAACAAACCCCTCTCCCCAAAACAGAACACTACACACACACCTCCCTCCTGGGGAGAGAAGGAGAGAGGCGAGCCGCACGTGACAGACGTTCTCCATGTATAAGAACCCATGGAGAACAGACTAGTGTTTAAAAGCAGAAAATCATGTGGGTTTTCTTCTTCACATCTCCTGAGTAGGGTCTTACACTAGCCCTGCCCTCCCCTGAAAACATTATTGGAAGGTTATAGAACAGAAAAACCCTATGGATTCTCCCGTACAGTTAGCAGTTCTTTCCAAAGGACAAGCGACCACCACACCACGTGGCTGTGCTCGGCCATGCTGACGGAGCCGTGTTTTGTAGGCAGGAACGTGCTCCAGAGGAATTGCCCAAACTGGCAGGCTGCATTATGGATTGATATAGCTGACATTTGATGGGGAGTGCATCCGGAAAGAAATCCCCCATCCGGCCCCACAGAAATGCCAGAATTTCCCATGGAACAGAAATTCCAGCTCCCAAACAGCTCTCATGGCGAGTGAACTTTCAGGGGGCTAGGTCCTTTGGGGGAAGCTGTGTCAGAAGGGAGGAGGGAAAACTGGGCTTTATCATTAAGGCCACGTTTTAGTCACGGGTATTTTTAGTAAAAGTCATGGACAGGTCACGGGCTGTAAACAAAAATTCACGGACCCGTGACCTGTCCATGACTTTTACTAAAAATACCTGCCCTGACTAAAATGTGCGCCGGGGGGCGTGGGTGCTCTAGGGAGGACTTGGGCAGTCTGGGGGTGCCGCGGGTGCCGAGGGAGGTGGCCAGGGACCCCCGCTGGTGCTGGCAGGGGGCACAGCGCGCAGACCTGGACCCCCGCTGGTGCTGGGGGCAAGGGGGGCCAGGCCGTGGTATGCAGGCAGCATGCAGTGTGGAGACCCCCCACCCCTCTGCTGCCCAGGAGCTGCAGGGAGGCCATGCCAGTGGGAGCCGGGGAGCCCCCACCCCAAAGTAAGTGCCCCCCCATACTCCCAAAACCCCTACCCCTAGCTCTAAGTCCCCTCCCACACACCCAAACTGCTGCTGCTGACCCAGGGGCTGCCTGGCTCGGGCAGCCCCTGAGCCAGCACCAACCACCGCAGAAATCACAGAGGTCACGGAATCTGTGACCTCCGTGACAGACTCGCAGCCTTATTTATAATAGGACGCTGGCTTCAGCCTTAATTCTGCACTGGGTGTCCCCGTTCTGCAATACAGATCACGACTGTTGCTGATCATGAGGTTCTGACTCTGACATACGATGTTCAACATTCTCATCGCCCCCCTGCTTGTCGTGCATTCAGTGACGAGACCCAGCTTTATTTAGCAGTCGTCAGGGGCATCGTGGGTGGCCTTCGCCTTTCTGTGCCAGTGTCGCTCTGGTTTGCTATAGAGACTTGTGCTGCTCTTTCTTAGACCCCGATCCTGCAAGCTGCTATGCACGTGCATGGACTGTGCTCCACTGAAGTCACTGGGGCAGGTCTCCGGCGCAGGGGTCTACCTGCGTGGGACAGCTTGCAAAATCTGGGCCTAACTTCTTTGTACCCCTTTAACAACATCCTTTTAGCAGCAGAGCCAGTTAAAGGGGTCCAGTGCCCTCGCTTGGGCGCAGTCATACCGAGATAAGCCCCTTCAGCAGCGTCCACATTGGGGGGCTGCACTGCTTTAACTATTTCTGTCTAAACAGAGAATAACTAAAGTGGCACAAAGTTTGTGTGTTGACCAGGCCTCTGCCCTGCGTGCGGAATCAGTAACTGCGGGTTACGGACTCTTTCAGAGACCGCCCTCATCGCTGTCGTATTCTAGCATCCTCCAGTCACGCAGTAAGCGACTGTCACGGGTGGTTCGTTCTCTCCTCCTCTCCCCAGGGGAGAATTGTGTGGGGCCTGCTGGGGCTGGTCCCTGCTGTGGGGAGGAGGAAGAGAATCAGCATGTCCTGTCTGAGGCGACACTGTGAGCTAGGGCTGTGTCTCCCCCTCCCTGAGCTGGTGCAAGCGTCAGTAGCCGCATAGCTGCGATAGCATTGGTAAGAGACGCAGTGGAGCCACCCCACGTGCAAACTCACCTGAAACCGCTCCCTGTGCCACTGCTATTTCTATGTACAGGAGCTCGATGGAGCTAGCACACGAGCAGGGTATGCCTGGCTCATAGGGCAGAAACCGCCTTCTCCTTAAATGTGAGCTGCGCTGGAGTAAGCTGTGCCGTCAGTTAAAGGTGTCCCACGAGGAAGGCGCATGGCACAGGCATCCTCTAAATACCAGTATAGTGGGCATTAAACAAAGCTCCCTTTCCTCCCTGTTTAAAGGAAAACAGAGGGTTACAGAGCGAGGTTACGGAAGGAGTTGAAAAGCTGTCGGAGTCTGAGAAACGGGTGTCAAAGCTGCAGAAGGAGCTGGACTTCATGTTGAAAGACAAGGTAACGTTCACTTCTTCAAACGTAGCTTTTTCTAGAGCTGGTCAAAAAATGCCTATTCAGAAAAAGTTTCCTTTTTCCAGAACCCCCCTCTCCCACCTCACCAAACTGTTCACTTTTTTTGTAATGAAAAACAAATTTTTGGCTTTCAAAAATGTTCTTGTTTTTTGTTTTTAAATGGAGTTTTCAGAAATGCAAAACTTGTACAGAAATTCTTTTTTTTTTTTTTTTCCAAAAACCAGAAAATTTCTACCAAACTGAAATCTTCCGGTGGAAAATAATTTGAGCTCTAACCTTTCCCTCTGTCATTGAGATTGATACAGTAAGGTGGCAGGGCTTGAAAAATGGACCTGATGCCTATTAGACAGTGTGAAAATATCTGTCAAGTCACACCCCCTCCCCAGTGGCCACATCCCCTGCAACTTAATGCTCTACCCTGAGTCATGACCTGTTTGTGTTCTATATTTTCTTTCCTATCTCAGATCATGGTGGGCCTTTCCCTTTCATGTTTTCCACCTGTCTCCTCTTTCCCTGCTCTCTCTTCCTCTCTCTCCCCCTGGGTTGTGTGCTCCCCCCCACCCAAAATGGCTCACTCTTCTTCCCCCCTCCCCCAGTCTCTCCCTGGCACCTAGAGCTCAGAAACCCTACCCAGGCGCCTGGGAGACAGGCGACTAAACCTAGTAGCCAAAGGCTGATACAGAATATGGGCTCCCCAGCGTCCTGTGCAAATGGCCCGGTGACCAGCCAACCACCCTCTCTGGGCTTCCGCCGTTGGTGGGAGCTGCTGGCTGCTCAGTTTTCTCAAAAATCAGGTCACTCTGGGCCTGGTCACTGAAGTTCCTGGGAATCTTTCCGTCGACTCTGCAGCAGGCTCTTATGTAGCTGCCTAAATATTGACTTTTAGGAGTTTACCTTTAGGCCGCGTAGCACGGTCAGAGGGGAGTTAATTCCTTCTTTGCCCGTGTGTAATGCATTTCTGGGGCACTCTCTCCGTGTTGTAGCTGGGCGTGGTGGATCCGCACAGCACAGAGCTCCTCCATCAGGAAGAACGCTTTGCAGAGATCATAAAAGAATACGAGCTGCAGAGTCGGGTATGTACGGGCAGCTTTGTTCAAGAAGGCTGTTGTGATGACCGCGTGCTCCTTCCCCGGTCTGGTGGAATGCCCCATGCACTCCACGTCCCTGGTAGGGCCGAGGGGGTTGTGACGGAGCAGTCCTGGTCGGAGGTGGTGGAATTGACATGCTGGCTCTGCCCCATCTGGGGAATATTTTGCAGGGCTCCCACACTAGCCCAGCTGGGTGACTCGCACTTCGTGGCAGTTCAACACAAGGGTCTTTCAGCCCTCTCTGTTCTGGGTGCATCTTGGGGTGCTTGGGAGCATCACCCCCACCCCAAATTTTAAATCCTCTTCTTTCCCAGGCTCCCCTGCTCAAGCTGTGGCTTCTGTACCCTAGTTCAGTACTGCAGCTACATGGGGGGGTAACATTTTCAAACGCGCCTAAGCTCCATTTCCAACATAGACGGTGGCTCGCAGGAGCCTACGTCTCACTGGAAGTCAGTGGCACTCGGGCGCTGTCCTCACTGAAGTGTATTTGAAAACTTCCCCCGTGATCTCAGCCACGTCCTGGTCACTAGAGAGTGCAAATGAGTATTGGAGCACCCCCCCTTCGCCAGTGCAAAGGGAGAGGCCCTGCATAGCCCTGAGAGATGAGCACTGAGGCTTAGAATAGCATTTGGCCTCCTGTGTGGCAGCACGTTCTGTGGTCTGCAGAACCCTGGACCAACCCCTACATTTTACTTGATGCCATTGTAGGATAAAGCTGATAAAACCCGAATGGAGCAAAAACTTGAGGGTAGGTTTTTATAAAACGCCCTCAGTGTCACTAATGATTTCCAGAGAAGGGCTGGCGTGCCCTAAAGATCCCTTAGGCGAGCTGCAAGATCATCAGATACCATGGTGATGGGCATGATAGACGAACCTAGGTGCATGGTTAGATTGATCCCAAGGTGTTCCAAGGGGTGTCTTTTACGTTTCAAGAAACATAACTTTGTTCAAAGCCTTTTTTTTTTTTTTTTTTTTTAAAGAAACAAGAATCTATTGAGAAGTATCCGCCACGTATGCCAGAATTTCATTCCTTTCTTTGTTCACTGGGTGTCTTAAGGGGCTTGCTGTAGCAAGGCAGTGTGTTCTGGTGCATAGAGCAAGGGGCTGGTACTCAGACCTGAGTTCTGTTCCCAGCTCTGCCACTGGCCTGCTGGGTGACCTTGGGCAAGTCACTTTGTCTCCCTGTGCCTTGGTTTCCCCAAATGGGGACCATGCTCCTGATCTCCTTTGTGAAGAATGTGCTATGAGAGTTACTGGTGAAAAGCGGTAGATAGGACCTAGGTACTATTGTATTAGATCGAGAGTTTATTTTCCCCCCTCCTTAGGTCTAGAGCGAGCCCTTGTGTGGGGCAGTCCCCGGCCTAGAGGAGCCCTAGAGAGTCACGATTCCTTCCCAGGCACCCCTTCGCTCCCCAGGGAGTGACTTCCTGCAGCCCTCTCCTCCATGCTGTTTAATTCCCCTGCCTTGTGGGGAATGCGCCCCCCCCTTAGTCTGGGCTGGGTCCTGGGGCCACCATCTAGCCCTGTTTGTAAACTGAGCAGTAGTTGTAGAAATCAAGGGGCTGTTCTTATAGACCATCAAATGATGTCACCTCCCAACTGCCGGTGCAACTGTTACTGTTCCGTGGAGTAGTTGTTGGACGGGATGTTATCAACTCACCTCTTCCTGTTTTTCTTTCCCCAAATCTCACAAAACCCCAACTCCCCCCAATTCGGTGCTAGAGGGTGAAGGTGAGCACTGCTACCTTGCACATGCATGATTCAGACATTCGTGTTGTGACTTTCACCTCCTGCATGGTCTCTTGGCACGGCCTGAAATCTTGGGTGTTTACAAGCATCGTTCTCTCAAATGCTTGAGCTTACGTTGTTAACTGACTCATGTATTTTGTATAGTGTGACTCACTTAGTCGTTGTAATTGGTTTTCTGTGTGCGCTTTGAACATGCTGGACGTCTGCACTTCATGTAGACGTGTCACCAGTTTTCCTGTTCCAAAATGCTAACTTTGTCGATTGTAGTGTTGATATAGCCATGTTGGTCCCAGGATATTAGAGAGACAAGGCGGGGGAGGTAATACCTTGTATTGGACCAACTTCTATTGGTCAGAGAGACAAGCTTTTGAGCTTGCACAGAGCTGTTCTTCAGTAGACTGTTGTCTAAACAACCTTGGTGATACCACCTACTACAAGGCACAAGTCAGCAAAAGCATTTAGCACATGCTTAGTTTTAAGCAGGCGCTTACACCCATCCCTGTTGAGTAAAGCATTTACACATGGGCTTAAGTCCCATTGACGTTAGGATAGAAGGTAAGCGTGTACTTAATTTGTTCTCAGTGTGACTTCCATGCACTGCAACAGGAGAGAGGCTCCGTTTTCACTGCAGAGTTAGCTCGAGCTAGCTACGCTCAAGTTACTCCTCTAGAGTTGTCCTAGTTCTGGCGAGAGTCAGCCACCATGTGAAATAACACCCACTGGTTCTGCACTTGCTTGTGTGAACTTGGAACGGGGTGCAAGAATCCTGCCTCTGGATTGGCTATCCCCTGCCTGATTGACAGATGAAGGGGGTTTGCCCATTTGTCCATACTGGTGTCTCCATATTACAGAGATCAATTAGTGATATGATGTACGTGTGTGCGCACCCACCTCCTGTCCCAGGCTGGCTGACCCAGGGCCCGACTGCGGGAGGGGAGGAGCACCCACCGTTTCCACACTCCCCACCCCGATAGCTGTGGGCACTCGGCACTTCTGGAGCAGTGCTGTGGCTGGTCTGTGCCGGTGAGGTTTAAATGAGATCTGCTGTGTGCCTTGCAGGAATTACGGGATAAAAACGATGAGCTACAGATCGAGCTAGAAAAGCTGCGTTCCCAGCTGCAGGAGAGCCAGTACCGCAGGGCCTGGCGTAAAATGAAGGAGAATAAGCCGGGAGGAAGACTGCTACCTGCTGGTAACATTGCTGAATTGCAGGGAGGGGGGGAGACACACTATCGTACGTAAACTGCTCAGACAGCAAAAGGTCCATGAAGATCAGAGTTACGCTGAGATTGCCCCTTAGTTCAGCATGTTACACTTGAACCTTGCAGCACACGTGGCATATAACATCATTCTGTTTCCTGGCCCTATGGCTGAGTATCAGATAAGCTACAGGGTTCCCACTAGAACAAGCTGAGGTCGGGGGGAGATTGAGATTTACAGAGCTGACCGGGAGACTCCATTGAAACAATCAGGAGTTGTGTGGCTAAATCCCCCTGTTGGCTTTGAAAACCTCAGCTCTACGCCGTTTCTCTGACTGTCCGAGCACGAGCCAGGCTCACGGGGCTACTTCCACAAGCACTTTGCACAGAGACCTGCAGGTTCAGATGATGCTGTGCTGGAGGATTGGGCACGTAGCTAGTGAACGTTTGCTTACAGGGGTATAATACTTCAGGGTATGTCTGTGCTGCAATCACAGGGCTGCAATCACAGGGTGTGACTGCGCACTCAAGTAGACATACCCGAGTGAACTAGACTAAAGCGAGCTTGGGTCCGGGAGCGGAAGTCGGCATGGACTAGTGGCCTGAATAATTACCCATGGATCCAGGCAGCTTGCTGCGGCATCATTGCTCTGGGAGCACCACTAGCTGAACTGATGCTAGCTCAGGGATGTCTGTGCGAGCTGCAGTCACCCCGTGCCTCTGGCCGCGACGCAGTGGGAGAGGGACCGTTCCGGGTGGGATTGTACACTGGGGTTTTTTGCTGTGCAGCGAGTTTGGCAGATTGGACTAAAATTCCTTCAGAAGTTTGTGTGTTTTTAAAAGTAAGCCCTTTTCTAAATGAAATGATACATTTCACTGAATGCCTCCTTTCCCGTCCCCTCCCCCACCGCACCAAAGTTACTCAAACGCGTTAGACCCCGTGGTGAATGGGGGAATCCTGCCAGCTAGCGCTGGACGCATGGAGTGACTCCAGGGGGGCATTCAGCCCTAAATGTTTGGCTAGCCCGGCCTCGAGCACCTTCGCTGAGTTAGTTCATGGTCTGATGGACCTTGCTGCCAGAGGAGTGTCTCTTGTCCAGAGGGGCTGGAACTAGGAGTGCTGGGGGGGGCCTGCCACACCCCCTGGCTTGAAGTGGTTTCCATCATACGCAGGGTTTACAGTTTGGTTCAATGGCTCTCAGCTCCCCCACTATACAAATTGTTCCAGCCCCCTGCTCTCGTCTTTAATCCTCGTTAGTTTCAGGGTTGGGGGGCTTCAGATAAGCCCCGTATTTACTTGCATGAAAACAGATCAGATGCCGTTAATCTTAGTTTGTTTCTAAGGTTGAGAGCTGCCAAATCTGGGGTGGGTGGGGAACACGGAGTTTAATCTCCATGGCAGTGCTCAGCACGGAGCAGACGCCGATAGCAGAGTGTTAGAAACCCCTAACAGTGGTCTCCGTTCTGAGGTCAGACCCGTTCCGTGGAGAAGGGCAAATTCCAAGTATGGTCCATGGGCTAGGCTATGAGGCTGGCCCATGGCAGGACTCCTGTGTCATCGGGAGCTCTGGACTGAGAGCCAGTGGCATGTGTGGCCCTTAGGGAGTACCTGGAGCTTTCTGTCACGGATGACTTGGTTGGTACCTGATTGTCACGCCCAGCGCCACCCAGGGGAAGAGATCCTCACTTCAGGCCGGGGTTGTTTCTGCCCCTTGAGTCTCTTCTTCCCTTCTCCGTGTCTGTCCTTCTTGTCTGTGTGTGTCTCCATGTGTCTCCCTTGGCATTTCCTTCCCTGCATCGAGGCCCTGTGTGCACTCCCACCCAATCCCCTTGTGACATTACCCAGAGTGCAATCTGAACAGCTGTGTCCCCTCAAGTCTCCAGCCTGGGGTGCCTTTTTACACTGCTTTGCTGGGAGGGCAGCCCTCCTGGCCTGCTCGCACCCAGCCTCCAGCATGTACATTACTCCCAGCCAAATTCCATCAATGCTCCGGCCAGCCACTCATGAATTACATTACAGGGTGACACCAGCAAACTCCCAGTCTCAGACTTTCCCCCAGAAATGTGTGTCTTGTACTGCCCAGCTCTCTACTGGACAACACAAGCTGATGGAAAGTCCGTCATTTTATTAATAGAAAATGATATGCACCAGCCCTGTTACCTCAAATGGAGTGTCCCAAACACTTCAATCCAAACACACGGGTCAGGGTAAAACAATAAAACAAGTTTATTAACTACAGAAGATAGATTTTAAGTGATTACAAGTAATGAGGCATAAAAGTTAGAATTGGTTACAAAGAAATAAAAGGTAAAACACAAACTAACACCTAACTTAACCCGCTAAGTGATTTCAAAGCAAAAGTCTCTCTCGCCACATGTTATAGCAGTCTGACTGGCTGAATTCCTTTCTGCCAGGATCCCTCCCCAGTCCAATGCTGCTTCCTTTGTCCTTCAAGTGCTGTCAATGCTGTGAGATGAAGGGAGAGGTGATTTGGGGTGTCTGTTCCCCGTTCTTTATACTTTTTCCTCTTCTTTGAGAATCATCTCCAGCTGGGGTTCAGGAGTCAGAAAGTCTGTGGGAACCTCCAGCTGTTTCTTTGCCAAGATGAAATTTCTCACTCGCAGCCTTTTTCCTGCCAAAGCATGGCCACTTAACCAGATGATGGTCCATTTGATTTCATTGACACCTGGCTAAGGCATCAGTTTGCCTTTTGTCTCTGAGGAACTGGTTTCTGGCTGCTTCCCCAGGTTTGGAATACATCTTAATAACATCAGACTGTAGAATCTTATAACTTTGCATACAATGTTGCCACACATATTTGACCAGGACAACAATGATCAGCAAATCATGAGTTTTCAAATGATACCTTACAAGGCATGGTTTGAACAAAATTTATCATACCCTTGAAAAAGGGGTGAACGTAGGGTACAGCCTGTCACATCCAGCCACTAAAACAACGAGCAATTAAATAGTTAATAATGACATTTTAAATGTCACCGCTGGCCTTTAGAACTGACACCTTGGTGAGATTTAATAGGGAGCCGAGGAAGTCACACCTCACGGCCATGGTTTCAGGCTGTGTGCAGACTCAGGCAGACGGCGCTGCCTTGATTGTATCTGGAGCATTTTTTCGCCAACCAAGCAGGCTGGAGACTCTTGGTTAATGACAGCTAGGATTCTGCGTGATCTGGATGCACCAAGTGGGCCATGTAAATCCATCACGTAGGTTGGATGTTGGACTCCTCAGCTCTAGAGGCATGTACAGGCACCACTTGTATGTCTTTCTTTTGTTACACTGAGTCATCAGAAAAAATAACAAGGAATCTTCATGGCACCTTAGAGACTAACAAATGTATTTGGGTATAAGCTTTTGTGGGCTAATACCCACTTCATCAGATGCATGGAGTGGAAAATACAGTAAGAAGAATATATATTATAGCACATGAAAAGATGGGAGTTGCCTTACCAAGTGGGGGGTCAGTGCTAACGAGCCAATTCAATTAAGGGGGAAGGGCCTATTCTCAACAGTTGACAAGAAGGGGTGAATACCAAGGGAGGGGAAGTGACTTTTGTAGTGCTAACGAGGCCAATGCAGTCAAGGCGGCCCATTTCCAGCAGTTGACAAGAAGGTGTGAGAATCAGCAGAGGGAAAATTACTTTTTGTAGTGAGTCATCAGAGACGCTTAATAACTCTGTCCTTTCTTCCCCTTGCTTTTCAGACGAGACCCAGCGAGGAGATCAGTCCCTTTTGGTGAGCCGGCGGCTAGCTGCTGCAGGCAGAACCGGTAAGGAGAGCAGTCAGCCGCTGTATGTGCACGTACGCACACGTGGGTGTCTCTAAAGAGGGCTGTGATTATGCCTGGTGTTTACATGGGGAGTAAACTCATTGAACTGGTGCCACGTTTCTGCACCGACGTGCTTCAAATGGAACTCTGTCTCCTTAAATAATGTCTGCAGCGTTCCCAAGGAAACCGGCACGCTCTGAGCTTGGGAGTGGCTTGCATTGTTGGGTGGTTGTTTTTTCTAGAGCCAATTGCCCTGGTTCAGTCTGGCTTCTCCTTGGAAAAGAGACGGGGGGGGGGGAATTTGGGAGGATGTATAAGCTGCCATTCATGGTGCTAACTCCCCATATGTCTGGCTACTGACTAGTGGTTTGACAGCATCCCGTGCAACCTCCGTGGCCTTTGGTTGCTGCTTTTGTGGCATAGCTGGGCAGTTCGTCTTCGGAGACTGCTCCTGCTGGAGGGTCCCCTGATCTAGAGCTATGGGGCTACTCCACATGCAGGTAGGTGGATCCTGCTGGGTCACATTGTACTGCAGCAGCAGGACTGGCCCTGGCACCTCCATTATTTCTTCATCCACCACTGATGCTGCATTAGGTGGATCCATTCTCTTGTAGCAGGGGAGCTGTGGCAGCCCCCTGGGGGGACAAGAAGTAGAGAGTTTATACTTGGGCTGTGGAGCGGGTCTCTCCAAAGCTGCCTCCATCACCAGCTCCTCATTCGCACCCAGGACAAGCTGTGTACTAGTTCTTTGTTCTTCGGGGGAGCTGTGGGCTGTCAGGTGTTTTGAGCACAGCATGTGACTGAGGATTCTGCTTTGTTGAGCACCCACTAACCCACCACTTTGAAGTTAACATTCGATTGCCTATGCATATGCAGGTAATCTAGTTACACTGATTTTCATAAGGGAACTGCCGGTCATTCATTATAACAGGGATAGATAAACTGAAGACAACAATAATATTATTAGTTTCCTGCAGTGTCTGACATCTTTGATCTTAAGGTTAACTGAACAGAGTCACATATGTAATGTAAGGCAATTAAGACATGAAGAGGATTTAGCATCTAGAAGCTAATTTGGTTACGTTGGTAAACTTCTAACAGGACTCGGTACACAGACAAACACATTTAGCATCTACCCTTGATTTCTGTTACTAAAAAGGAATGGGTTAGTGATGCTCGTCAGTACATCTTTTTGATATTCACACACAAGTGAATTGTCCTGCATACAATTGCAGTGCTCCTTGTTAAGCTGTTATGGGTCTGATGCAGGTTGGCTGGTTTGCCAGTGTAATCGTGGGGTGCAGAGCGATCTTCAGTTCTGCACTCGTGGGACCGTTTCAAAAAGCTGTTTTCTTTTCAGGCGTCCTTTTTGTAGAAGCAGGTGCCTGTGCAGTGAGTATAGAAACCGAGCTCATGATAGAGCAGCTGAAAGAGCAACTTCAGGACCTGAAAATACAACTGGAAACCAAGGTGATGGGGGGAGAGGGGCCCTGGGGAACTTACAAACGCTGTGGCAGAGCAGTGTGGCTATTTCCTATTTCCTGTCTGCATTCGGGTGACTCAGTGCTCTTCAACTTTGCACCACAGCTCTCCTAGAGGGAATGGAGCTCCTGATTCATGTGTAGTTAAGGTGGGGGAACTGGGGAGTACAGCCTCAGCCTTGTTGCTCCCTGGGGTCCCTGTGTTATAGGAAGGTGGGGCCAGAGAGATGGGGCTTCATATGTCCAGACTCTGTGCCCCCTGTGCTGCTCCTGCATCTGTGCTTGCCCTCTCAGATCTGGGCCATGGATGGTTCTCTAGGGGGTGCTGGCTCTGTTTGCGATGGTACCAGGGAGTAGTCCGTGTGCCTTCCCGCACACATCCCAGGGTACACAGGAAGGGCGGCACACTACATGGACGTCTTGGCTGGCAGCAGGAGTCGAAGCCACAGCTGGCTGTGTGGCTTAGGAAAGACTTGTAAAGGGTTTTGTTCATTTGCAAGAGCATGTCCTGTTGCACCAGCCAGCCCAGAGGAAACGCCTGCAGATTGGACACGCTTTATTCAAGAGACCGTAACAAACACAGCTCCTTGTCGTTCCCCTCCTCTGGGATTTAAGAGGGATTCCAGGCGTGGTTCTTGCGCTCTGCGAGGGTTCTAGATTCTCTGCCCTGTGTCATGCCCCTAGTCCTACTCGCAGTGAAAGAGGGGTTGGTTCCCAGTAGCAAAAGAATTCTGTGAACCCCTCCGTGCTTGCCAGAGTCACGGCTCCAGTTCACAGCTATTCAGACTCCATTGGACTCATTTTCACTGTTTCCAACGGGATCGTTGCCTTGTGGGCTCCTGATGGGCCTGTGGAGCGGCTGAAGAAGGCACACACACGCTATAGTGCTGTCCTAACCTCGGGGAGTCCTGGTGGTAAATAGGAACAAGATTTTTCAAAGCAATTTAGGGAGACTTGGATGCCCGAATTCTATTGATGCTCATGGGAGCTGTGAGTCCAAATCCCTTGGGCAGCTTTTTAAATCAGCCCTGGTGTCTTGTCTCAGATCAGGTGTATTTCACTGACCTCGGTGGGCTTTGGGGTCAGGCCCATAGTGAGCCATAAGGAAGGTCGTGCTTGGCTCCTGTGTGGATGCTCATGGGGTGGAAGGTGCTTGGTTCCTCCTTTCCCGTGTGACTCCACGGAGGGGCAGGCACATGCTTCCCTGGTTGTGAAGATGTCAGAATTATTCTAAAAGCAAGAATACAGCTCTGCTTCCATTGTAACCCCCGAAGATGTTTAACTGAAATAATAAATCCTATTGCCTTACGTTGTCCACTAGCTTTAATAGAAACACTGCAGGATTCCTCCAGGAGAGATTTTAAACTCAGAAGGGACCATTGTGGATCATTTAATCTGACCTCCTGGATATCGCAGGCAATTGCATTAGAATGTTTTAACCTAGGCTAAAGGAGGCCAGAGATCTTTGCAAACACTTCCTGTTCAAGCGGTGATGCTATCAATGGACAGCTCCTAGCGGAGTGCAGGAAAGTGTGCTCAGGACTGCCTTGCTAACACAGAACTGTTTTTCCTCTTGCAGGTAAATTACTATGAGAGGGAAATTGAGTTAATGAAAAGAAACTTTGAGAAGGAAAGGAAGGACATTGAGCAAGGCTTTAAGATGGAGGTCAGCGAGTTAGAAGAGCAGAAAGGTGACCTGGAAGAGCTCAAAGTGAAATACCAAGAGGTAATTGATGGCTTGAAAGACCAGCTCCAGAAATCCACTCCCAGTCAGGAGCTTGAGAAGAGGTTTGAAAAGGAGAGGTCAGAAATGGAACAATACTATGCCAAAGAGATTTGCAACCTGGGACAGCGGCTGGCTCAGGAAAGAGACAAGCTGGAAGAAGAAATGAAGATGCAGCACAAGAATGAGCTCCAGTTAATGAGGTCTGACACCGTTTTCTTTCCAGAGCACAAGTGCATAATCATACAAGAGATTGGGAATGGATCCTAGCTCAGTTCTGCTCTCCTCCGTTCAAGCTCTTGTAGTAGAGCAGGCTTATGGGATTGCAAGAGGTGGGGCATTACGCATTTGGCTCGGAGAGGTTTCCTAATTTTGCAAGCAAGTCAGGACAGTGTAGCAGTCTGTGGATCTAGTTTAAAGCGAGAAATCTGTGCTCCCTTATGTGAGCACTTCAATGTCTAGGCTCTCGGAAGGTTCCCTGACACTGATGGTTCTCCCTGATGAACGCAGAGTGTCTAGTATGTCCAGACGCAGAGGGACATGAACGAGTTCAGCTCTCACCAGCATCTTCATTCTTGCTGCTTCAGCAAACCTGCCTGCCCTTAGACTGATCTACAGGCAGCAAAAGTGGGTTTCATTTCTCTTAATTGGCCAACCAAGGAATTGAGGAAAGAGGAAAGTAAGGGCTTTGTTCCACGTTTCGGTCTCCTACCTGCCCCCAACCAGGCTGCTCTTCGTTAGCTGTCAATTTGTTTTGCATGACAGCTTATTCTTTGCATGTACATGTAACAAAGTGTGTGTGGGGGGAGACTCTCATGCTTCTTAAATGGAATCAGTTGTGAAAAATCCAGTAGCCATTGTCTGCCCCTCTGCTGGTTCATCTGTCCTCTCCCATCACTCCCCGCCTCTGCCCCGGGCTTTGCTCAAACCTCTTGCTCTGTTGGTCCCTTTGTCTTCTCACATTCTGCACGGCTCCTTGTCTGGAATAGACTCCAGGCTCAGGAGTGGGGCGTGTGCAGGATTTGGTGTAAAAGAACAGACCAGCAAAGCCCGAGTTGGGCAACTGGCGGTGAAGGATGGTCTGGGATTAAAGAGTGTGAGTGGCACTACTCTCATGCCTGGCTTGGGTGAGCGTAGGTAGGTCGCTTCGAACTCCCTGTGTTGTGATCTCCCCAAATGGCGACTGTTTAATATTTGCATTATAATAAAGTAGGTGTGGCAAGCCGGTCAATTGACCAGTCAAATAATATCAATTGACCACCTACTATTTGAGTCCAGTCAAGTATTCCAGCAAAAATGCCCGGAGGTAGGCGGCGGCCTGGCTTTCTGATGGCCCCTGATGCCGTTCTTTCATTTATTAGAGCTACATTTCATTGTTTTTTGCATTTTTCTGAGTTACAATAACTCAGGTAGGTCCCCTTTGATTGTACAGTAATTAGGCATAAGTATTGATCCGAGGCTAAGCTTATTGGAGGCTTTTTGTTACTGTCCTAAAAAATTACTGCTCTAAAATATTTGACCATTATTTGGCCAGTCAAACGGCCAATTATTTTTGGACTGGTCAAACGCCCAACCCTACTGTCGATGCCTGGTGCCTCGGTGGGCTAGGCACCGGACAGACACACAGGCTGCTACAGGTCCCCGAATAACAATTTCTTTGTGTGCAGAATGGAGCTGCACAGGGTCTCGGAAGATAACGCTTTGCTGAGAAATAAACTCGGGAGATTTCAGGAGGATGTGGAAGAAGCAAGTAATAAACAAAGGTAAGAAAAGAGCCCACTAACATTCAGCAGTTTGCCAAAGATGTTTGTCTGAGTTCCTTAAAAGCGAAAGCCTCTGTCAGAAATGGAACATACCTGAGCCCGTTGTCTGAACCGGAATCCACCAGAAACCGATAATTCAGTGCAAAAAAACCTAACTGGATGCAAGACCGCAATGCAGATCTGGCTTCAAGAGGCTGCTTTGAGCTCAGAGTTTCAGTTGCTGTCTGGTTGTGAAGTCAGCTCGGTCATTGAGTTCTGGCTGGTTCCACGCTTCAGAGTGCCATGGGGCAGGGTTTGGGGTAGGAGAGAATTGGTGATACTGCTTCTGGCCCAACCCGACCTTCTGGGAAAGATCTGACCAGCTTCCAACACAGGCAGTTGGCTGCAGGCTCTCTGAGCAAAGAACGCAAAGCCAAGTGTAAGCCATGACTTTTGGGTGCCCAACTTGATTCCCTGACTTTCAGAGGGCAACTGCTTGGCACCCTCTGAAAATCAGGTCCCTTTAAGATGTGTCCAGCTGGGCACCTAAAATCACTAGTCAGGTTTGAAAGTCATGGCCTAAATTGCTAGCGCAATGTTACGTTGTTAGCCCTGGGCTAATGCTGGCATGATTACTCAGATTAGAATAACCATTCTCTTTCTTTTCATCCAAACCAGTGTTGTCATGGTGTTCATTCTGCGCCTGGGAAGGTACTTGTACAAAAAGAGGTCCATGCTTTGCAATGATATGTGTTTCCCCTTCCAACAGGAAACAAATTGATGAATTGCAAAGAGAGAAGGAGATGGCGCTATCTGAGACAGAAGAGTTAAATCAATTGGTAAGAACCTACTAATGCTAAATGGCACTTAATTAGCCCTTCTGCTTAAGGATTTAGCGAGGCAAAGAGGGGCAGAGAAGGCACATCCTGTGTGTAACATGCAAAGGTTTTGGAGCAAACACTTGGATCTGTGCATTAATGAACTTGTCACGGGACTCGCCCTGCTGACAGTTTCAAAGCAGGCTGGGGGGTTTAGGACACCCAGGTCCCACTTATTTTAATGGGAATCAAGCACCCAAGTCCTTTAGGGGACTTTGAGCATTTCAGGAGAGCTGGATGGGAAATGTTTTTCATGTCTCAAATCTTTTTGAGTGTGTGTAATTTCTTCCCATCTCAAATAGGGATGAAAAGTCAATCTCCAGTACCAGTGAGCCAATAAGTACATTCTGTTTGAAATATTTCATTTAGATTTCAACCTTGTGCTCTTTTGTAACCTTGTTCAGCCTAATTAGCTTACATTTGGAATTGAAAAGTCATTTCCAATGGAAAACTGGACTATTTTTCATTTAACAAATGTCAAAAGGGAACATTTTGGCAACTGTGACTTTTTTCAGTGTTCTCGGAGTCGAATGACATTGGCTGGAGGAGCATGATGAACGTACCCCAGTCAGGAGCCAGGGCAGGGCTAAGGCTCAGCAGATCTGGGCTAGAAGGGGAGTTTTAAACCATTTGAAAGGGGCAATTCCCAACTTTCCAATGCGACGCTCGGGATCTAGCTTTAGTGCTGCTATGTGCTGAGCTGGAGGCCTTTTAAAATCACGGTGCGGGGAGTTAGAACGATTATGGCCAAGATTTTCAAAAGCAAGTAGTAATTGTGGGTTCACTAGCAGGCCCCATAAAAGGAGCTGGATATTCAGAAAGCGCTAAGCCACCTGCTTTCGAAAAGTCACGTCTCTGCTAACGTGCCTCAAAATGAGGCCCCCAAGATCACTAATCACTTAACATTTTGGCTTGTTTTTTTTTCCCTATCTCCCTCTGAGACTTGTGGATTCACGGCTAAGACCTTTGGCTATGTAGAGAGAATGATGCATAATTAGCTGCTAACCAACACTGGACCATGCTCATAGACCGGCGTTGGGGGTAAAATAGTGCATGTGCGCGTGCGCTTGCACTTGCGCTTGCGCTTGCGCTTGTGCGGGCTTGCTGAGGTGATTGGAACAGCCTGCTAGGCACGGTCAGGTGTGCTCTCTAGCTTCTTCGCATCCAAGCATCTGTAATGGCTCCATCGCCAAAATGAGGATGGGGTTTTCAGTTAAGTACGGGGGTTAGATGCCATTGCTGGAGATGAAAACACATGTGCGTTATCCCCAGAATGACCGCCCTTGTTCTAAGGAATTCACTTCCTGCAGAGCTACTGTGTATGGCTTCTCTTGGGGGAGGGTCGGCCTGCACTCTCTTGACACACCCTCCCACCACACTTCGCCGGGACGGCTAGCGTGTGAACGAGTTGTCGCCATTGCGAAAGGGGGTTGTCTTGGGACACTTTAATTCCGACGGTGTAAAGACACCCAGGTGAATCCGTGTGAATCCATCACCAATGTCCACATCCTCTTCTGTGCATGGCCCCAACCTGCCCCTTCAGAACAAGACCTACAAGCAGGAGATCTGCCAGCTCAATGCCAGGACCCTGCAGCTGAGTAGCCAGCTGTCGGATCTCCGCCTCCAGAGTGAGACCAGCCACAGTACGATCCAGCTGCTGAGCCAGAGACTGGCCCAGACGGTGAGCCAGAAAGAAGAGGAAGCTGCTGTTGCCAAGCAACTGCAAGAGACATCAAGTAAACTGGAGCTGGAGTATGGTCAGCATCAGTCAGCATGGCAGCGAGAGAGGGAGCTGCTCCACCAGCGGCTCAGGGAGTCCAGAGAGAAGGTGAGCTCTCAGCGGGGTGTTAAAGCGGCAGCCTGGGTGCTGTGCAGTACTGAAGCTCCTCCTCTCTGGGGTGTGTGTGGGGGTGTGTGTGGAAAGAAGCAAACTGCACTAGTCTGTGATGCCTGCCTGGGTCTCTTCGAAAGGGATTTGCCGTGCTACTAGCGAGGGGTGTCTGGCCCTGCCTGGCCACAGCTGCCTAGCGTGCTACAAGCCTATGGCTGCTCCGTGGGGTTACGTTCGCAGTTCCCTGCGTGGACACGACACCCCCACGGGCAGTTCGGCCTGTTGTCTCTGGGGCTGGCGAGCGGGATTGACACAAGCCCCCAGCCTTGGGCTAACTCTGCACCCATTGCAGTCACCGGGGAGTTTAGTCCCTGCTAGGCCAAGGCTGAAGGCTTTAACAATCCCAGCTGGCGGGTCTGTGCATGACGTTGCAGCGCGCCAGGCTGATGGGTGTGCCGCGATGCAGGCACCTTGTGACCACGAGGAGGGCGCGGGGCTTCGTTCACGTCCACGGAACTGAGAGCAGGAACCCAAGAAATACTCTGGTCTGCGGGGTTCCATGCTAACGGGCGCCCCTCCCCTTTGCCTAACAGGTCAGCCAGGTGCAGGAGCTGGAGGTGGAACTGGAACGTGTGACGCAGGAGTGCCAGACGCTGCGGCTAATGGCAGCACAGTTCAGGGAGGAGCTGGAGGAAAGCCAGGATCAGGTACGGACTTGATGCAGCTGCAGGCTGGGCTGGATGGTGGCTGGTCCTTGGCTGCAGGTGGGGAGAGGCCTGGGTGCAAGGACCCAGCTATAATCGCAGTACCTGTTCCCTGCTAGCAACCCCTGTGGTACAAGCCCCCCCTAAAGGGGTGTGACCACTGAGGGGCCGCTGGCTCCTGTTGGCAGGGAACTGCTCCAACTGGGGGGGAGGGGTGGATCAGCGGCAACTGCCAGGTGTTGGGAGAAGCCCCCTCCCTCCTGGGGACGAGAATCGGAGGAGATAATGCACGATGTGCAGGCAGCCCCCAACTCCTGGGTGCTCTAGGACGTGTGGCTAAACCCCTGAGAGATAGGGGCCCAATAGTTATAACTTGGAGCAGGAAAACGACAAAACTGGCAAACACGGTGATGGGTCGCTCTGGGGTGAACTCTCGAGGCACCCACAGCCTTCCGCTCCATGGGCATCCTCCAGCCATCTCTGAACCCAGCCCGTCTCGGCTCACAGACAGAGGAACCAGCATCAGTCTCAGAACAGACCAGCAAGAGCCCACTTCTCCAGCCACGGCTCCCAGCGTGCACTGAGCCTCTCCTTAGCGTGACCGTAGGCCCTTCCCAGCGTGTCAGGGTCTCAGTTCCCTGGTCACAGGCCTTACACCTGTTACTAATGGTCTCTTGTAGGCAGGCCTGGTGCGTCAGTTCTGCTCTTGTGACAGACGACAGGGCTGGGAGAGAGCGACCTAGTCTCCCTCCCTGCAGCCTGAGTGGCGCATTTCTGGAGCTGCGCTCTCAGCCCAGGAGCGGGTAGTTCTGCCGATTAACAACATACAGCGGGACCAGCCACGTCTGACAGCGTGGCATTGATGTTCCGTCTTCTCGAGGAAGCCAGTGGCTAATGTCCTTCTGGTTGTCTGTACGTGATCATTGAAATAGCCAGTGGAGTCCCCTGACCAGCCTTTCTGGGCTCGGTGGCCTCACCCTGCACCATAGCTCAGGCACTAATCTCCGTAGGTTACGCTGCTACCTTACAACAGGAGTCCGTCCAGTTCTTACTGCACCAGCGCCCGGAATGAGCACTGAGCCTCTTTCTGCACTCAGCACTGTGGGTTAGCTGGGAGCACCCCTAAATCCCCATCCCTTGTGATGCTGTTGCTGTCTTCCGCTGTGAAATGGTGCCTCAGTCTTCATTTTTCTCTTGTGCTGTAGTTATTAGAAGCCAACACAAGACTGAGCCTGACCCAGTCTCAGCACAGGCAGGAGCTGCAGCAGCTAAAGGACCAGCTGGAAAGCACAGTCTCCAGGGACTGTCTCGCCCAGCTGCAAAGTAGATGGGCAGAAGAACAGCGGAAAGTTCAGCAGCTACAAGAAAATCTCAGCTTCCAGGCCGAGCAGGCGAGCAGGCAACTGGCCACCTTTCAGGTAAGAAGTGGGTGCAGAGATTTCTCATCAGCTTAGGCAATGGGACCCAATGGAGAGGCCGCTGGCCTGGGACTTGAGATCTGGGGTCTGTTCCTGGCTCTTGGGTGACCGTGGACAAGTCACTTCCCCGCTCTGTGCCTCAGTTTCCCCCATCTGATGAATGAGGATGATGCGACTTGGCTGCCTTTGTAAGGTGCTTTGAGATCTGTGGCGAAAAGGGCAATGTAAGAGCTCAGTCATGGGACGTACCATTAATCTTAAAAATCTAACACAAAGCGCAATCCATTGTGTTAATTCAAACTCCCTGAGTGCAGCCTTTTCATTGCGCTGTCCCCCAAACGCTGGGAAACAAAGCTTTGCATTCAGACTGCCCGCACTGCTGAGCTTCATCCCGCGCCCAGGAACAGGAGTCGCCGTGGTGAGAGGCCGTACATCTGTTTGTGTTCACGGGGGGAAAGCCAGAGGCTGTGGCGTGGGGAGCTAGTGCTGGGTGGGACACAGGAGTGACATGTGCCTGGTGACCCCTGCTACTAAGCCAGTGGGCAGTCGGGCTAGTCTCAGGGTGTGTCGCTTCAGGCCCAGTTTCAAAATGTTCTCATTAAATCAGACAGAGCAAAATAAGCGTGAAAAGAATGAAAAGCCAGCCCGGCAGATAATGCCAGCAATGGAAATTGAACCCAGGAAAACGTCAAAACAGAGCTTCCCAGGTCATGGTCCCTGCCTTTGGGGAAGGAGTCTCCACTCAAAAGCAATTGCTTTTAAAGACATTGCTGTAAAGTTCACCCTGCATCCTTTAAAGGTTTTGTGCTAATCCCTAAGAGCTTCCACATAAAACCCATTCAGTCCCGTCTCTGCCACGTCATTTAACGTTTGGGCTTGTCTACACTTACAAGGCTCCAGTGGAGACGCTCCCTACGCCAGTGGGAGGGCAGGTCCCCTACCTCCCCAAGAGGTGGGAGCTGGATCGACGGGAGAATGGATGTCTGCACTGGGGGTTAGTTCAGGTTAACTGCACCCCTCAGGGGTGTGGATCGTTCGCACTCCTGAGCAACGTGGTTATACTGATCTAATTTCCTAGCCTAGACCAGGCCTTATTATCCCACATTTCTAAGGACCCGTCGGGGATCGTGGCCCCATTGTACTAGGCATAGGCGCTGACTCCGTGGGTGCTCCGGGGCTGGAGCACCCACAGGGAAAAATTAGTGGGTGCTGTGCACCCACTGGCAGCCAAGCTCCCCTTCCATCCCTCCCCACCTCCTCCTCCCCCCCGAGCGTGCCGCGTCCCCACTCCTCCGCCTACCTCCCAGCACTTCCTGCCTGGCCGCCACCAAACAGCTGTTTGGCAGCATTAGTATGCTGGGGTGGGGGAAGCGGGAATGTGGCGCTCTCAGGCGAGGAGGCGGGGAAGAGGCGGGGCTGGGGCAGGGAGGGGGTGGGAAGAGGCGGGGAAGGGGCGGGGCCGGGGGTGTCGAGCACCCACGTGAAAGAGGGGAAGTCGGCGCCTACAGTACTAAGTGTTGTATGTGCAAATACAAACAGTCCCTGCCTCTGAGAACTCACCCACTGGGGTTTAGACTGTGTGTAGAGGGGAATGAGCTCGCTCCTGGAGGAGGAGGAAGGGAAGGACGAGGGAGCAGCAGACAGGGGTGTTTGCATTAGCGGTCACAAGGGGCCGCCAGTTCAGCCAGTGCCCGACAGGAGCGATGGCGAATGGAATCCGTGTCCGGCACGCATGGTGCTGGGTGTGGCTCCCCGGTGAGTCTGGGGTGGTTTGGGGCTGAGGCCGGATGTGCCTTTGTCACCGTGCATTGCAGGAGGAACACGAGAGGTTGCTCAGCACGATGGAGGAGAGGACGGAGGAGCTGGAACGGGACGTGAGGAACATGCAGAGGATGCTACAGGAGAAGGTGACCGAGCTCCAGGAGCAGGTCAGTGATAGAGGGGCCTTAGCCATTGACTCTGCCTGGCTGTGAAGGGCCGAGGGAGGGGCTGAGCGGGCAGGAGCTGCCGTTTGGGCCTGTCAGAGGCACCTCTGGTTTCGTTCCTGCTGTCGGCCCAGATCAGACCCCCTCCCCCAAGTGGTGCTTGGCTGGGTGCTCACGGGATGAATCTCTGCGCCCCTCTGCAGCACTGGTCCCCTCCCCTCCGGCCCGCTGCCGCAGGTCTCTGCTAGGCTGGTGGGTGCAGGGGTCAGACAGAGCTATATCCCATATATCGCAGCTCTCCCCGCGTCCTCAGGAGCCATCGCAGCCAGAATAGGGGGCCTTGCCCGTGTGCCGCCAGACCACACAACTGGCCTCTGCAGGACGGGGGGGCCAAGGTCAGCTTGGGGTTAGCTGAGAGTGGGCCATGGGTCCGTGTTCAGAGTCACAGAAGTGTCGGGCTGGAGGGAACCTCGAGAGCTCAGCTAGTGCAGCTCCCTGCGCTGAGGCAGGACCAAGTAAACCCAGACCCTCCCTGACAGGGGTTTGTCCAACCTCCAGTGACGGGGATGCCACAGCCTCCCTTGGAAGCCTGTTCCAGAGCTTCACTCCCTGAGAGTTAGAAAGTTTCTCCTAATCTCTAACCTAGATCTCCCTTGGTGCAGATTAAACCCATTACATCTTGCCCTAATTCAGTGGCCATGGAGAAGAACTGATCACTGTCCTCTTTAAAACAGCCCTTCACGGATTTGCAGGCTGTCAGGTCCCCCCTCCCCCCCCGTCTTCTTTTCTCACGATTAAACGGGCCCAGTTTTTTTAACCTTCCCTCATAGGTCAGGTTTTCTAAACCTTTGACTATTTTTGTTGCTCTCCTCTGCACTCTCTCCAATTTATCCACTTCCTTCCTAAAGTGCGGCACCAGAACTGGACACAGTGCTCCAGATGAGGCCTCACCAGGGCCGAGTACAGCAGGACCGTTACCTCCCGTGTCTTACATACAGCACTCTTGCTAATACACCCCCGAATGATATTCGCCTTTTTCGCAGCTGGATCGCATTGTTGACTCTCATTCAAATTGTGATCCACTGTAAAAACCCGATTGTTTTCAGCACCACTACCACCTAGCCAGTGATCCTCCATTCGTAGCTGTGCATTTGAGTTTTCCTTTCTAAGTGCAGTACTTTGCACTTGTCTTTATTGAATTTCATCTTGTTGGTATCTGACCAGTTCTCAAATTTATCAAGGTCATTGTGAATTCCAGTCCTGTCCTCCAAAGTGCTGGCAGCCTCTCCCAGCTTGGTGTGATCTGCACATTGTATAAGTGTACTCTCTTTGATACCAATTAAGTCATAATTTAGCCTATAGACTAAGATGTCTCGTTCTTCCTGTTTATTCCCATACTCCTGGCATTTGTGTATAAACATCTAAGATGTTGAGCAGATTCCCCCACTGATTTTTCCCCTCTTGTTGCTCCAGTGACTCCAGTGTAATGTTCCATTTGCCCCCAACATCTAGTCCTCTGTTACAGGCACCTTTTGTTCTACTTACCTGGGGCTTTTGTCACCTCGTTTAAAGCCCTCCTGGCTCAGCTGGCGAGTCCATGTGCGAAGATGCTCTTCCCCGATGCAGACTCTGTGGTCTCCAGTGCCCTGCCCAGCCAACCCCGAGGGGCTGTGTGTTCTCCTGCCCTTAGGGTGGAGTAGCAGCCGCAGAGGGGAGGTGCTATAGGAGATAGCCCCACATCCTGGCTCTGGATTGGAGGGGTGGAGTTCATCTCCCTGCATTCCCCTTATCTAGCCCCAGGGCCTGGGCTTCGTGCTGAGGAGAGAGCCCTAGGGCAGTGTCTGGACTGTCATTTGAGTCGGGGTTATGAGTTTCTCTATACTGCACCCTGTCTGTGCTCAGCAGAGGGTGGATAAGAAATCCGGCTCCAGTTAGATCAGCTGGGCACCAGAGGGCCGCTCTCCTGGCATCAAAGCCTGCCCCATTGTCCAGGTGAAGAGCTGTTAATTGTGGCTCCATCTGATTCTGTAACAATTATTTTTACAAGGCGAGGCCTAGAGCCTGACCCCTAGGGGAGTTCATGCAGGGCTGCATGGAATGGCCATTGACCTAAAGCTGCTTCCTCCTGCCTTCCAGCGCGACAGAAACGTGAAGTGTGACCTGCTGCTGAAAGACCTGTACGTGGAGAACGCGCAGCTGGTGAAAGCTCTGCAGGCAACTGAGCAGAGGCAGAAAAGTGCTGAGAAAAAGAACTTGGCCCTGGAGGAAAAACTCTCAGCCCTGACCGAAGTGATTAGAAGAATGGCGCAGGCATCTCTCGGTGTGTGAAGGGGCCCCGGTGCTGGGTTTGGCTGCAGCTGGAAAGACAATCAGTAGCAGACACCGTCGCTGCACTCCATTATCTCAGCCTGGGAGCCGCTGGGCTGCAGGGGGTCCCGGTCTGCACACTGGGTCATGGTGAACTCCCATCTGCCGCTGGGATAGGCAGTGTTAGTGCTGGGTGGAGACACCGTGTGCGGCTTCCCCCGCTGCGCCCAGCAGGGGAAAGGGCTTGCTGAGATCTCTCAGGGAGCGGGGGAAAGAGATAATGGCCATAAGAGAAGCGTGCCCTGTTTTTTCAACGGGAAAGCATCGGATGCTTTAATGCCATTCAGGCCATTCTAGACAATAGAAGGAAGGGTCTGTCTTGGGGCTATTTACGGTAATTGCAACACGCCCTCTGAATTTGTCTGCACACTGGCAGTTTGTATTGTACATGCAGTTTTATACACAGAGAATATACTATTCACCCCTGAGTCCTGGCTGTCGTTCAGGGGCCCATGCTGCTGGAAGTGGAACGACCTGCTGTATTTTTAGGGTCTTCTGCTTTCGGGTCACTGGGAATGGGAAATGGTTTTAATATTAAAATTACATTTTTACCATTGGTTTCTGGGTTGATTTTATTTCCTCTGGGATTTGGCTCTGCCCAACTTCCCTTAGATTCTAGGACACACAGACCCTCGCCTATATCAAGTCAAGAGTACAGGCCCTGGCCCAGAGAGCTGGGACAGTGGAGCGATCTCTCCTTGTTCTCTGCCTTGGCTGTCAGGAGTCACTTTGCTCCCTGCTCCTCTCCTGTGAAATATGGTTTGGCTCATCTGTTCCTTGCCCCTCTTCAGAGCTGTAGCACCAGGGCCCCTTGGGCAGGGAGTGAGGGGATGCACAGAATTAACTAATGAGAGCATTGGGGTTTTAGTTGAGGAGTATGGAGTCTCATGCAGGACTGAGAGGACATGAGGACTCCATACTTGTAAACTAAAATGGCTCTTTATTGAGAGAACTGTTTACAAAGATGCTGCAACTGCAGACAGCACTCCAGCCCTGTGCACACAGACTGACTTCCAGTGCTGCCTCCAATCTCCTCCCTCCAAGTTCCATGCAGGCTGCTCCATCCTTCCTTTCAGAATTGTGTGTGTGTGGTGTCTTTTGTACAAGCATTTGCTCACTTGCTGGGTTCAGGGGGTGCTAGTACATCACCTGCTCTAGGGATATGGCTTTTATTACAGCCCATTTTGGCTTCTTAGGCATTGGTCCTCCCAAGTGTGCTGGTTGTGAAAGCAGTCTCCCACTTCTTGTTTATGGTCTCGCTCTGGGTGGGGGACTTGCTTTCACCCTATTGCTGCTTTCAGTCTGAGGATGCAGGGGGTGCATTCTGTTCACCTTCTGTGTTGCTCATGTACCCCGTTTCTTCTGACTCCCCGTGCGTGGAGTCTCCATTCCCCACCACTAGGGTGAGCATCCCTCCCTGCCCAGCCGTGCAGTACGATGGGAGGAGGAAGGGCTGGCACCAGGGTCTTGTCAGCAATAGCAGCAACACCCTAACGGAGCCTCTCTGGGTAGGGGCCATAGGCGCCGTCAGCTGGGGCCTGGAGCCAGGCCGCCATTGGTTCCCCAAGAACAGCAACGTATCCCTTCCTGCTGGGCGTTGGAGGAGCCTGGCAATGAAGTAAAACCAGGGGAGTCCAGCCTTTGGGGCTCTATGGTAGCAGGGGCTGTGTCCCTCCCTGGCATGGATGTTAAAGTGAGGGGGAACCAGGCCCCTTAGCCTCCCCTGTAGGCCCGGGTAGCTGCCTGCTAGTGCTGGTCTGTGGAGCCCAGGAGATGGGGCTGGGTGTGTGGCAGGGGACTTGCTGAGCAGCTGATGTCCCAGCACAGGGCAGTGCAGGAGGTAAGGGGCTGTTGGTACAGCAGGGGAGGCACCACCAGGAATGTTGTTAGTGCAGGAAAAGGGAAGGGGCTGGTTGGGGGGTTAGGAAATGACTCTAGCCCCAGAGGTGGTTCAGGGTCCCACAGGGAAGGAGCCATGAAGGGAGGTGGGGGCAGAGCGGACACTTAAAGGAGCTGGTGTTAGGGCCTTCAGGGATCTTGGCTGGGGGGCAAGACCAGCCAGGGCTGGGAGGGTAGCATGGGCCAGGTCAAGGAGCAGCCTGTGGTGACTCTTGTCTCCTGGCTGCTCTCCCTGGCAGCAAGAGGCCCTACGAACCAGAGGTGTTGCAGGAAGATTAGAGAAAAATCCTCTCTGGGCTTCCCGGTAGCTGCCTCTGTGCATCACTCACCCCTGCTTGGGTCGAAGTAGGAGTGTGAAAGCACAGAGTTGCTAAAGGGACTCACGCAGGTGCTGCCCCAGAAACTACTTCAGACGCTTTGAAACCAACTCCGTTGCCAACTGGCATCACTTTAAAAATGCTCCCAAAAGCTTCCCACTGTGTATTTTCAGGGAAAGTTATCAAACAATTGTCTCTCCCCCCACCCCCGTGCTTTGCAGACCATAGCACCACACGGACACATTACACTAGAAAAGCTGTATTTGCCACTGCTAAAATCACCACTACAGTTGGTTTGATTTCCTTATTAGAGAGTTCGTCAAGGAAGGAGGTCGATGGAGGCTGGCCCACAGCTCCCGCCCTGTGTTCATGACAGAACATGCTCCAGCACTCCTTGTCTGATTAACTGTTCGCATTTCCAGCGCGGTAAAAAATGCTGAAAAACAAACAGACGTTTTCTGAATTCAAGGCAGACTTGCGTGAAGACAACCAAGTTCTGCATTTGTACTGGAGCAGAGTCACCAGGCTGCACCCTAGGAACAGCTGGAGAGGGCAGCAGAGCTAGATTTGCCCAGCTGCTGCGTCTTGTGTGGAACCAGTAAGGTCTCAGTGTGAAAAATGGCTCGTCTGCAACACTTATTACTGGGTGGACAATGGCTGTAGTCAGGGAAGCAAGCATTACGCCCACAGTAACTGTTTCAAGGATCAAACCATAAACCAGAATTGCTCCCCCCACTACTGTGCATACACACAGGGGCAGATCCTCAGCTGCTGTCAACTTCCATGAAGCTATGGCATTTTACTGCAGCTGTGCCACCCTGAGTACATCACAACGGGCTCTGGGATCCTTCAGAATCAAGAGCACTCACTGGCCTGTCAGTTATTCCCCCTCAAGCCTTTACGTGAAGGATTCCAAAGGAAGCGCTCCCCACAGGGGCAGAAGAGTATGATTTCCTCAACTCGTTCCTACACACTAAGGGTTCAGTCATCCTGTTTTAGTAACAGTCCTGCTCTCTTGGCATAGGTACCTGGCTATTCTTCTTCAACAGAATTGTTATACCGTCGTCAATCTCAAATTCTCCATGATCCTTTAAACACCGAACCTACAGTAAGGAGAAACGGGTCTCTTTCAACATCAGCAGATGCACAGGGACAGGAGTACCAATGTCACAGGCACAGAATGCAGTGTGTGCACAAATCACTGTTTACTCTTGTTGCACGTCACCTGACCTGTGTTTAAGGCAGACACACAGCCCAACAACATCTAACATAAAACAGGGAACTGAAACACAAAACCAAGCAACCTCAACCTTCGTTTGTGTAAGTTTGGCCCACCTTGCTTAACACCAGCACCCCATCACATTATGTATCTCGCAGAGAAATGAACCAATGGGGATGATCAGGAATCTCTATGGAGGTGAGGGATTAAAGGCAAGGGCACAGCGAGAAGGGGTCCTAGAACCAGAGGGCATATTGAGCACATTGGGACCAGAGTTTAAAGGAAAAGGAAGAGCAGAGCCTGGTGGCATTCAGCCACTACCTGCACATCTTCAAACTCTTTGCTGTCAAGTGTTGCCATGCAGTCTTATGTCTTCAAAAAGAGCTGAGTGTGGCTCTCGAGTCTCGTGTTGCCAGCCTGGGTGTGCACTTTTAATATATAGTTCCACACACAAAGCTCATTCAGAAGCCCCAGCCTTGCACTTACTTCGATGTATAAGCTTTTGGGAGGTTTCATGTCCTGTGTGAGGTCCAGTCCTTCCTCTCCTCCTAAGGATCTCATGTAGGTAGCAAGAGACTTTTTATACTGATTGAACCACTCCGTCTGTAGACATAAGAACACTAAACTAAACCAACAATCCTACAGGGACACAGGATCTCAATAACGAGTGGACACGCTTTAAAAAACATGGCTTGTAGCCACTTTAAAATATTTTTCACTGCCTTCTTAAGTCTACCAGTACAACTTCCATTCTACCCTGAATCTATTAAACAAGTCAAGTTTATAACAAAGCTGGGCTTACTTCTTCAGCAGACATGTGAAATCGGAGGTCGTTTGGCAAGACACTGCCATACTCCCACCTGAGGGCTCGGATCCGAAGCAACCGGTCATACCTGGAAGAATTAACCAGGGATTAAAACCACTCTGTTCTCAATCAGAAACAGAGGTATTAATCCAAAAAGGAATCTGGACTCAATCCCCTATTTATACCAACTCTGATGCCTTCAGAATGAAGTGTAAAACCCTGTTATTCTAGTCTTCCCTCCATAGGCCTGCCAAAATCATATACACCTCTACCCCGATATAACGCTGTCCTTGGGAGCCAAAAAATCTTACCGCGTTATAGGTGAAACTGCGTTATATCAAACTTGCTTTGATCCACCGGAGTACGCAGCCCCGCCCCCCCGGAGCACTGCTTTACTGCGTTATATCCGAATTCATGTTATATCGGGTCGCGTTATATCGGGGTAGAGGTGTATTTAAATAAAAACAAGGCCCCTACAGAATAAGGGAAAACAATGATACAGAGACCTTCCTGTGTTCATTTTACAACATAGAATATCAGGGTTGGAAGGGACCTCAAGAGGTCATCTAGTCCAACCCCCTGCTCATTACATTTGTAAGGTGCTTGGATGCTACTGATGAATGCAGTACTACAACCAAGATTAAGCAGATAAACAATGTTTCATATTGAACATAATATGAAAACATTGGGAAAAGAATCAAGGCCAGAATTTTCAAGAGTGGCCTCTGATCTGTGTGCTGTTTTTAAACACACATTGCAGCTTGGTTCTCAGAGGTGCTGGGCACCCACAACTCCCACTGAAGTCCATGGGACCAGCAAGTGCTCAGCACCCTTTGAAAATTAGGACCACAGTGTCTCAATCTGGGCACACAAAATCAGAGGACGCGCTTGAAAAAGCAGCTCTTTGTCCATGTAAGAGACCGTATTCCAGTCACAGACAATTGCTGTGAAAGCAAGATACACCTCCATTAGAAACTTACAGGTATGCAACAACACATCGTCGATTTCGCAGCAGAGAACAATGACGAAATTTGATTGTTCGGATCAAGTCACTTCGTCCTGATTTAGCCTCATTTCTGGTAATAATGCAAAGGGAAACAGTATTACATTACGCTGAGACCAAGAAACTGGCAAGCATATATTCTTCCTATTATTTTTCCCAAAGCTACACATTCACACAAAGCTCAGACGTAGTTTAGTTTAGAATTTCTCTGGCACTTAGCACCCTCCTCACCACAACCTCGTTTTTCTCCCACTGGGAGCCACATACTAGCGTT